GTAGTGCCTTCCTGAGCTCCTCCTCCACAGACGCCATTTACCTGAGACAGACAGAGTGATGCAAAGGCACAAGATTAACATCAAATTGTCGGTACAAAGACAGTGGATGTAATCTGCCAGGTCCTCCACACTAACACACACATAAGAATCAGACTCAAGGAGACATTGTACACCAAGGTCAACTAAGGGTACTGACTGGTGTTTCTCTAGGACAAAATAGACATTAGATGAGTCAGTCAGTATCAGAGCAATTTTCCCAAAGGTATAGCCCATATCACTGTCTTCCATAGCCACAACCATATTTTTCTGGTACTTGGTGCCCTTGTAGGTAACAGCGGATGTCACTAATGTGGTCTCATGGATGCTTCTCAACATAACAGCTTCCTGGATACCATGGTTATATAAATACCTATCGAACTCATCTGCTTGCTGCATTTGTAAAGTAGGTGAAAAGAGACAACCAGCCTGAAGATAAGCTTGTAGAAGCTGGTGCCTCTCTGCCAGAGTACTGTTTAAGTTCTTGAAGTTATGCAGCTTCCTTGTACACTGTTTGAAGTATGTATGTTTACTTTCAAAACACAAAGTCCACAAGCGAATTAATGGGCCAAAATGCAGAATGAGCTCAGGGTAATGCATTAAGAAATGGTGCTTTGGCTTCAGAGTTACAGCTGGAAACAGTGTAGCTCTAGACATAATATACTACTCAATGAGAACTTTTAAATATGCTACCTGGTTTGCATGGATTTTAGGGGCAGTTACCATATTAACTTTGTCTCGCAGCAGCAGGCACAAATACATGAAAGTGTTTAAGGCTATTAAACACAGAGTCAAATTTTATGCCATAGGCATTAGCTAATTGAGGATTGGTGGAAAGTTCATGAACTGAGTTCTTATAACTTTGCTTTGTCCGTGGTAGGCCTAATTCTGTTGGAAAATTTTTGAAAAGTGTCTCTGTCAATACGACAGTAGTGACAGAAATATGTACTTCTACTGAAGTTTTCTGTGAAGCCTCCAATCATGTGTGACCCAAGGTTGTCTCCCGTTATTGCAAGCACTGCCCCTTGTATAATTTCACCACTGTCCAGTGTGAGCCCTGCCTCTTCAAGATCCCTCAAATCTCTTACAAGAGGACCAAACACTTTCTCTTGGCCGAAAAACGCCAAATCCTCCTCCTTACAAAGCATAACAAGCTGTATGGGCTCTATTGAGGACCTATTATGAGGAGACATCTCTGACAGTGACATGTAAACAGCAAGTTGCTTATGCTTTTTTCTCCCTGAGCCCAGGGGATTTACCACTTCGAATGAGTCCTGGTATAGGATCATGGATACCGAAGACGCACTGGGTTGAAAAATGGCCTAACCTAAAATACCTGCCATCCCTTACATCCTCCAGCAAATGTGGATCATGTGATTTTGCTGTCTTTGCTTCAGCGTATTGTAGTTTCATAGACTCCTGACTCATAGCGCTTTTATTGTTTCTGCAATTGGCACATACTGACTAAAACAGTCGTTTTCTTTTGAATTTGTTCCTAAATAATTAAAATTATTTTTGAAATAAGTTTTGTGTGTACCATCGACCGGAAAACGCCCTCATCATATAATCTTAATAGATTAGTTTTGTTTAGATTTCCAATTATGTTATTAATATCAGTGACAGAAATATTCAATTTCATTACAATTCTCCTCACAGTTGTCCCTAGTCATCTGTGAGGCATCATTACCAGGTGGGCCTATTTGAACAGGGTTTTCTAAACACTGCGGGTGTTTTCTTCAAACCACAACCAAACCTAAAATTTGTGAGATTACCATGCGTTTTTACACGCTGATTAAATCTTGGAAGCGTCATTACATTGATATTACACGTTTTGCAAACAAATGGCACAACCATTGCGGCAGAAAATGCTCACAAGCGTCACTAACGTTACACTAAATCCTGCAACAGCCCACCAAGAGGCACCTGCAGTAGTAACAGAATGGCTACTATCAACCAGTTTACATTCACTTGAGCCTCATACATGGGGATGAAACCACAAAATAATACTGAGAAATAAAAATGCAAGAACCTATTCCAATATTACCGTATCAAAAACAAAAACCAAGTAGTTAAATTGGACGTGGACGGTTCCACCTTCTAATGTTACTGCTAGCTGTTAAGCTAGCTATCGCTAGCTAACTTCTCAAAGGATATCGGCTGAGCAACTTTATGAACTGTTACCAAGGGTTGAAACGACCAAATGCAATTACATATTTGAGTAATATTATGCAAATAGCATACCTAATGTTATACTGTATAAAAGTGACAATATTTAAGAATGTAATATGAGCACTAGCTACCGCTAGCTAACTAGAAGCTAGTGATACTAGATAATTGAGTTGGCTAACGTTAAAGCACAAAATTCAGTTCAGATTTAACGTTATATTTAGCATATGTTCACATTGCAAACAAGCGTCCACAAATGGTTCACCTTGTGGTTGCCCTGTGGGTCCAACTTGAATTGAATACAGACTGATACAGACTACTGAAGTATTTTATCTCCTTCGACAAACTGTTGGCACCTTCCACCACTCTCTCGTTGTTCTTCTTCTTCTCATTAGTTTTGTCTTTTCCCTCGTCGATGACATCTCAACCGTCCATCCAAGTCGTTACATTGATGTTACACTTTTTAAAACAAAACACCTCATTCCTATTGGCCGTTTCCCCCGCGCAAATGTATTACTGTAAATTGATAAACAGTACATAACTACTGTAAAAAATAGCCGTTATTTTCCCACAATGCTTTGCGGTTAGCAGTAATGTACTGCATTTAATCATTACAGTATATTAATGCACTTATTGCAGTATAATACTGTTACAATTATGAAAAACCGTTACAGTGTTCTATAAGCCCATCAATGGGTTACTATTAAAGAATTGAAAATATTTGATACATCTTTTATATGTTTAAATAGTTACAATATAGAATTTGCATTCATCACAGGTTAAAACATAATTTTGTAAACTGCAATCAGTATATGAGTTTCAACAACAACAAAAAAGCATTTCTGAAATATAACATGTGACACAGGCCAAGGAACATTAATGATAGAGCTAGTTAATTGTTTATCAGTTGTTTGAGTTCAATATACGTATATAATTTATCATATCATTTGTTAATGTCGGATTATGCTCTGACATTAGGTCACATGGGAAGTCCTTGAACACACATTCTTCAAGGCAGACTTGAACCTTCACCAGGTCCACATGGTGCAAACAATCTCTGCCTCCATACAGATGAGGGACTGCATGCAACATGGAGGGACGTCCATGAGGTGATCTTGAGTTGTGGAATTGGTGGACTAATATTAAGTTAGCTTGTATAAAAATATTGGACACTTGTGATTATCATTTATGTATTATTTATTCTCTGCACATACACATGGTCATTTGTGCCTCTTAAAAATATTGCTGAGCAATCCTTTATATTATAATGTGTAAGTTACCTGGATTGTTTGAAGAAAGCAAAACTGGATCAAGGAGTTGTCCAAGAAGCTGTCTGAGAAGTAGCTATCTCATTTCAGTAGGTCTATCCAAAACTGGACAAAATCAGCCACCATCGTTCAATCTGCTGATTTCCAGTACTTGGGTCAAAGATAATAAAAGTCATAATTTCTTAAATAATTTTTATTTCACAATCATGACATAACTTTTTTTTTTTAATCAAAGATATGTTTTCATTTCATTCATTTTATTTTATTTTTTTACTGGTGGAATTGGGCTTCTATAGGACATTGTCAAATAAAGCCACTGCTCTTGTCTGGCCTTTGAGACTGTCGAGGTCAAGCAGCTCTTCTGTAATGTTCATGTTATCATCAACTCCTCCCAAAGAAATGAGTGCCTGGGCAGTGTCAGATGTATCTGTGTATCACTCCTATCTCTTAATGTCTGAAGCAGTGATGGGAATTCCAGGTTCTTTTTAGTGAGCCAGATCATTTGGCTCAGCTCACCAAGAAGAGCCAGCTCTTTCATCTCCCAAATGGCACTTTATTTTACCACTTATACCTTTTATAATTCAGCCAAATTTTGCACTATTTTGTATTGTATGTGTACACATATATCACCTAAATTATTCAATACATCCTGTTAAGGGTTTTTACTGCAGTGCGCAGTCATCTACTGTGTATGGAGGATAAGCAGAACATACTCGAATCAGCTTTAGCCTCTTGGCATAATTATTTGTGCGGACTAATGTGTTGTCATCTCATCAGCATAGCTCACACAGAACAACAACTGGCGCTCACTGGGAGCGTGGTGACGTTATGTCTTGTACGTACCGTAAACCTTATACAATACAGCAGTACAGCATATCAGTCTACCGTAATACAGGGAGTAAGGGCGCCATCAAATTACAACACTTAACACATCCTTTGTACTGAAGTATTTACATAATACATCAATAAATTGCTGTAGATAGTTGTTTTCATTCCATTTAGAGACCCTTGTAACTCTCTGAAACCACCCAGTGAATGCACTAACTTGCTTGTAAAACCACTCTGCTACACAAAGCAGAAATAAACACCTATAAAAACTTAATCATAGAAATAAAATTAAAAAAAACGACAGCTATTGACATTTTCAGTTTTTATTTAAGCACACACCCCTAACAAAACAAGTAAAGTACTGAAAGTAAGTATATGAAATACAGGACTCAAGTAAATGTGCATTGTTAATGTCCACCACTGACATCTGGGCAAATAAAACCAACTGCATGCATGGAGCACCAATAGCATGAAGATCATCAGATCATTCTGCCTTGTATTACTTCATACACTTATTTAAAAAAACGGCTCTCAGATCGTTCACTTAAAAGAGTCGGCTCTTTGAACCGGCTCGTTCGCGACCGACACATCACTAGTCTCAATTGTCCGGGCCACTGTATTACGAGCCAGACAAACATTTGCAAACTCTTTTTTCAGGGGGTAGGAGCCACAGCCCCCCAACCCCACCCCACCCTACGTATCCAGCGCATCTGTCCATCTCCAGCGACTGTAAGGCAGCAATTACGCAAAAACGAAACCAAAAGTTTATTCCTTGCTCATGGTTTCGTTTTGAAAGAAGACACCCTGGCTGCAGAGAGATGCAGTCTACGACAACAGTAGTTGGTGAGTGCTTATATTAATTCTCAATATAATGTTAAACGAATAAGGAACATTACCGTTTAAAGTTTGGCTGCACACTAAAGACCCAGCACATAGCGACGCTCGCTACCTGAAATGACCTCGGCGCTAGTTATTTTCAGAGCAGGTTTAATGAAATGAGGAGACAAAGCACACACCCCGCACTTGCGGGGTTTTCCTGTCACAATATATCTACACTGAAGACAATAGGAGCTTAACGGCCTAAACTAAATTAATGAAGTATAAACCATACGCACGTGCTCACTACATTAAAAAACACGCATTAAATAGTGCTGCGTAAACGCACGCGCCCCTTGACTGACGTAGGACGCAATAGAATTGTCACGAATATCGATACAATGCCAATAATCAGACTTTAATTCATCAATAATGACAGTCAATAGTCATTAATTGAGCAAGATATAAAACGAAAGCACATCCGTCTATTTACTGGTGGAAGGAGGCAAAATGTTGGCTATTAATGAGTAAGAAATGAGTAACTTTGAATGAATAAAAGAGGAGCACAGTGTGTAGCTCCTGCATATGAAATGGTCTATCTATCTATCTATCTATCTGTCTATCCACTTTGCAAGCCGTGGCTGTGTGTGTGCTGATGGGGATGTTATTGGTCATCAGGCTCCTAGGTATTAGTATGTGAAAAATAAGAATCGGAGCTGTCTCCCAATTGGTTTGAATTTTAGTTGCAATTTCTTCCTCACTTAAAGCTGACTTTGAGGTGTGAGAATGTGTGTGGATCTATACACGTGTGCTTGCGTTCATATTTGCTTCTTTGTGTACCAGCTGATGGAGTCTGACCATGGATGATGAGCTTGACCCTGATGGTGACAATGTGAACTCCGTCTTGGCTCAGGAATCCTCAGAACTGCTCACCATCCTTAGCGGTCAGTCCCCTGCAGTCATCATGAGCTTGTACCAAATGATGCCCGGTGGCGCCAGGTGGGACATCAACACAAACAGAACAGAACACATCAAAGCCATGTTGGAGTACTTCAGGCTGGCCAGCGCTGCAGATTGCCGCAACTTCCTTCAGAGCATGTGCATGTTGTGTGAGAACATCCCCATGCACCTAGAGTCGAAGCTCATGTCCCTGGCTGGATATGCAAACAGTGAGTATAAAATTATGTTAAACATGTTGACAAGGTATTCTAGCCTTCGTTCATACCGCCATCACCTACAGTCCAAAACTTACTCACTGGTCAGGTAACCGCTCAACAAGAATGGTCATATAAAGAAGTCATTAAAGTTAGTGTTTAGTTTCATACAGATACATCATGTATGAGTCTCATGCACATATCTCAAGGTTTAGAAGAAAACATAGCTTAATATGTCTATACAACGCAGGAGTTGTGTTAAATATTATGTCATGGTTATGTGCTGTAAAGTGTGAAGAAGTATGGGTTAGCACATGGGGAGCATTCTGTTGTTTTCCAACTTCACAGTGAACAGTGCTGCAGCAGTTTTCTGCCTTAAGTAATTATTCACCAGTGCTGCATTTACATAGAATCTATATTCTAGAATAAAAAAATAAAAAAGAGCCCAATCAATATAAAAATGTCCCATTAAGCTCAAATTGGGCTGTTTCATTTTCTTTGGCAGAATATTTATACTCTTTCTGTGCATGCTTGCTCATTTGAGTTGAATGAGATGATCTTAAATGTGGGAGACGTTTAACATTGCCTTCTAGAGATAGACAGATTACTTAGCATTTGGAGATGATTGGCATTGGCTGATGTCTGTGCTCATGAGGCCGATAAACAAAAAATGTCTTCAGACACACCTGCGGGTAGCCTTGTCAGTGTTGCTGCTGTTGAACAGTAGCTTTTGAGCCCTGTACTATAACTCTAATGCATCCTGCTGTAAACATTTGCCTCAATTTCCCATATAGTAGAATAGAATTATACAGAACTTTTATTTGTTTTGATATCGGCATTATATATCGGCTATTTCTCTTATCATTTATCTATACTTACATGTCCTTTGCCTTAAAGCCATAGATTATTTGTATTTGTTCTGTTCTGTATGTAATGATATTATGAATAATAATAAGTCATACTTACCTGCTCATACTAGTCTAATCTATCGCTGTGCTGGCCTGGCCTGGCTAACAGTATGACTTTTCTGTTTGACTATTTAGCTGATGTTATACACTCTCCTACTGCAGCACCAGTGCCTCTGAGAACCACAGGTAGTTAATGTTTGTCTCTTAATGTCTGTCCGTGTGTGTGTGTGTGTGTGTGTGTGTGTGTGTGTGTGTCAGGAGGACTGTATATTTTATTTGTCTGGCTGCACTGGCATGCATAAATACACATTCAGTCTGCAGGTGTTTTCCATGCACAAAAATGGCTAACATCTCTTAAGTTTTCTTTTCCACCACACTCACTGTGTGCTGATCTGTGTATTTGCATATTGAACACACCCAAAGCAATGATGTGAAATACAATGTAAGCCAAGTGATCCGTTGGTTTTCTTTGGGTGAAAAGTGTTTCTTTACTTGGGATTAATATCATTATCTTTATTTGCTTTATAGTAAAGCACCCCTCAGTAGACATAGCCTCACTGACAAACTAAAGTGCAAAAGTGAAAATGAAAGTCAGAGAGGCAGCAGGTTGTCCAACTACGATCAGCATATAATCTGTAAATCTTATGACTTTTCTCTTTCGTTTCACCTCGGGAATCCCCAAAATGTCTAGCTAATTTAGAAACTAAAAATAAGGGCACAATAATAATATGCTACATTAGCAGTGCTGTTGATAGCCTATCCAGTGTTTTATGTACTGTATACTCTCTGTGTGTTTTTCTGCACTGTAGATGTTTGTGAAAATTCCAATCCCACTGTAACGGATGTGAAGTCGCCCTCGCCGCCCTCAGATTGGCAGCTCAGCAAAAGGCCACGGATTGGTAGACTATACACACAACACTTGTCCTTTGTTACATTGCAGCTGCATTAGCATGCACAAACCAACTTGGAAACTGACCATTCACTGGTTAACATCCATGAATTTATTAAGAGAACTGGATACAGTGTGGTAGGGTCAGCCTTGCTGCCAATTTGTCCTGCTGCCAATTGCAGGACAAATTGGAACAAAAAATCTCCTACAACCAAAAGGGGAGCATGGTAGCTCACCTGGTACAGCAAGTCCTTATTGCAGCAGCCCCAGTTCAATTCGAACCTGCAGCCCTTTGCTGCACGTTGCCCCCCCCTTCTCTACCCCCTTTCTGTCAAGCTTCACCTGTTCTATCAAATAAAGGTATATATAATACAATCTATCACTAAATATCTTTATATCTATAATATCTTTAAACATTTTCTCTACTGATCATGGCAAAAAGCAGACAAGGTAATTTGTTACTTTTTGTGTTGTGAAGTTTTAAAGTTTTAAACATTTAATATTTTTAAAACTAAGAGAAAAGCATTAGTTGACATTTCAATGTTAACCATTGTGTCATGAGTTGCATGGAGGAAACCAGGAAGGGTAAAAACATCTTTATTGTATATGCTGGGTGAGCAGCTGTCATTGGAATGACTGGGTTACATCTTAAAACACTGTATCCATTTCTCATGATACAAGTGCTTCCAGCTACCAACATTAAGACATTAAATATAAAATTGCACATTGAGTTTACACAGGCAGGAAAACCAAAAGTGAAATTAGATGTTTTCATTCCACAGTGATGTGTTAATACTGAGAGTAAACCAGGCATCTTAGCTATGTTTCTTACACTGAGTATTAAATTACCAGTGTTAACCCACTTCTCATGTGTAGTACTGAACCAAAACAAGCTCACTTGAATAACTAAGAACCTACTCCCAGCAATAACCAGCACCTGATCTAGTATTTTATCTGGTGTATTTTGTATTCCATGAGTTATTTTATTTTACAGACACACAGTAAATACAAAATAACACAATTTCTTGTAATGTTGATTTTGAATGTTGACTGCTCTAAAACAACTTTTTGTGTGTCATTACACATGAACAGAAAATTGTCAGTTGAAAAATTGTCTGTTGAAACATTTAAAGTAAAAATGTAATAAATGTAATAAAAAATAAAGGACCATCTGGCCCTGTAGGGTGCAGCACCTTAAAAATAGGGCCGCTCTATTCTTGTGCAGTGTAACTTTACACCCCCACAAGAAGAACAAGTGCTGCTGCAGTGAAAGTGCCCTCTACAAATAATTTGGTTTTTTTTGTGTTTTATGATGATTTCTACCCACAGACCACTGGGAGCAGTACATTGCTGCAGTAGCAGGTTTACTGCAGAGGAGGTGGGAGCGACTCAGTGAGCCCCTGGTGAAAGAGGTCCAGCTTGAGAATGTGTGGGTCAGCCTAAGAACAGTGAACCGAGGCAGGGACAGACCGGATCAAACCCCTGGATCAGCAGACAGAGGAGGCAGAACACCAGGTTAGCGTTCAGTCCTCTTATTGTACACCTAGAATCTGCAAAATGTATGTGGATGGTTTAAGTATGAAGGATTTTCTAGATGTACTGATACTAATGTCTAAATGTGGTACAATTACTCCAAACATTACACTAAAAGGTGGAAAATATAGAAAAAAATGCATGCTCTATAGTGAAACTTGGTCACAACCATACTTTTATTTATTCAGAATTAAAGCCGGCTCTTCACTAACTAAACATTTTCTCTCAACGAACTCAGAGCCGGATGTGGATTATGGGTCTTTTGAGTCCAGAGTGACATTGGAGACCTTCCTCCAGGGATGTGCAGGAAAAGTGACAGTTCTTGTTGGCCAGTCTGGATCAGGAAAAACTCTGCTGATGTCTTGTTTAGGACAGCAGTGGGCATGTGGACTAGTAAGTTTACATTGTCATCATTCAGTATCATGGATGTTCTGTGCCAATCTGCTAGATTGGTCGGGGCTGATCAAATTCTTCTTCTTCTTAATATTATTCTTATTAGTACTAAGAGGGGTTTTCCACAAGAGGTACCAAACTTTCTAAAAACGATTCTCTTATGTTTGGGCCATATAATAAAAGATCAAACATCTCTAATCCATTGTGAACTGAACGTTACAAGTCAGGTAGGCAACATGCGTCACCTGGAAACAATTTCTAACACACAGCATTGTGAGCAACTGAACTGTGAAGCAACACAAAAATACAGAGAAGCTGCCAGTTTCCCTTAAAGGGGGGAAACCAGTTTTACACATCAGGATCTTGGGGAGAGCTATTGCATGAGATCAGACCGCTGCTCCTCATCTGTGCTTGAGGCTAGAGGCTCAACCCCCATACTACCAGCAGAACACACCTTAATCTCCGACCAACCTGTCTGCGGCCTGGTTTGCTTTGTGGGTAATGTAGACGCTGGGTTTTGACAATAAAGAAGAATGTGTGGAATGAAAAAGATGAAATGTCTTCATGATAAGCATAAGAAAACAAAGCCTTTAGAGCCTCTTGTTTTGTTGATGCTGGGGATGAAAACCGGATGTCCAAATACTGTCCAAACTTTTAAAAACCCTCACATTTAAGGGTTCCTGGTAGAGTTAAGTACGTTTTAATAAAGCTTATCTGAATTTATACATTCAAAATAAGGCTGTGGCTAAAGCTGTATTCATTTTGGATCAGCACTCAGTATGAGATCGACTCAGTATTTGTTTTCTTGAATCAGGTCAGGATAACAAAGCATGGAAGTTATATATTAGAACGTATATGCTTTTTTCTTACGAGTACTCCATCAATGTAGAACTACACTCTTATAACATTGTCAGACTCACAATGGAAAGTTTAATCGTTTTTATTCCACACATTGTTCTTCCTTGTCAAAGTCTGGCAACCTGTCTGCCAACAGTTCAGTCGGAGATTCGGGTTTGTTATGCTAGTCGCTGCTGGTGTTGCCTCAAGGTGATTGCCTCAAGGAGAGATGAGGAGCGGGCTATAGAGGTCTGGTAAGTTCTCTTCTTCCTAGCTTCACACCCCCAGATTTTGTTTATTTTCAGACTTCTTCGGACCTAATCGCCACTGAAACATTTAGCAGATTTCACACAGCTCCTCTGGAGACACAAACATTTGCAGAAATACTCCTCCTAGAAGAGACTTTAAAAGACTTTAATGGGTAAAACTATCAAAGTTCCCAGTTACCTTTTCCTTATAGGCTTGGTTTATTCTCTCATTTTGTCTCTCCTTCACTCTCTCTATTTCTGTTCCCTTCCCCTATCATCCAGGGCCCTATCCCTTCATCCTACCTGTTTGTACTGCTAGAGTTTCGTCAGCTCAACTTATTGTCCTGCCCTCTCTCCCTGTCTGAGTTGCTGTTCCGACAATATCTCCCTCCAGGGAGCGACCCCAAAAAGGTATGCTGGTAGCAATAGTAGATCAGTATCTTTATAAATCAGTACCTTTATAAATCCAGACCTTTATAAATCAGGACCTTTCTGATGTGAAATGAGCAGCAGTAAAGCAGCAGAAATTCAATTCACAACCAAAAAATGCTGTTTTCTTTATATAGATATATATATACATATGTTATAATCATACATTGTGAGGAAATGGGTTGTCGGGCTTACAATAATATGGGTTGTCCATTAGTAGTACGGTCAGAGGACTCAATATGTCCACCAGTTAAAGGCTGTATTTTTGTTGTTCCTGGAAATATTTATCAAAATGGCATTTCGGGGTATTATTAAACACACTTAAATGTTTTAAACAATTGTAATAAACAAATCATAGCCACCAGTGAACATTACTAATACATTTTCTCTGTCATTCTTTCATTGTATATATATTGTGTTTCTAGCAGAGAGCCATTGTGGATTACCTCCTTACCAATCCAGAGCAAATCTGTTGGGTTCTCGATGGCTATGATGAGTTTCACAGAAAACTCACCAGACAAAAGAAAGAGCAGAGAGAGCTATTGGACCCAGAAAAGCCTCTGCCTGTTGCAGACCTCATCTCTGCGTTGTTAAATCGCCAGCTTCTTCCAGGATGTACTGTGGTGGTCACCTGTCGTGCTCGAGATGTCATTGATTTGGAAGGCTTATCAGATAAAGTGGGGCAGCTGCTGGGGTGGGACTGCCATGAGATCAAGGAGTATGTGCACAACTTCTTTGTAAAAGGTGAAAACATGCCTTTTATATTTACAGTGTGATATTTGTTATTCTGCATAGAGTTAGCTCTGCATTCACTTGGCAATAGACCAATAGACCTTTTCACAGCAGCCATTTTGACAAGCCACAAGGGGTAAACACAGGTTTTACCAATGATACTAATTAAGCTTCCATGAGTATACGGAACAGATAATATATTTTTTACAAATACGAGTACCATCAGAGTAAAATGCATCAGTATCTGTACTCGTAAACAGCTTTTATATATATATATATATATATATATATATATATATATATATAAAACATGTTCTGTAAATAGTTCTTACTCTTGTGATCAAAAACATTGCTCTGATCATTGGGCTGAGCTTTGCTGGGTATTACATAAGGTCACTGAACTTCATGCAATAACGAGAATCATAACAGTTGCAACAAAACTAACAGGAGAGCCAGAGTGATATCAATCAACCTCAGTCTGAACCCACCCACAAGTCTACACAGGCAAAATAAGGGAGAACTACTCTACTGTGTGGGTCTGCCTTACGTTTTTGTGGTTTTAAAACTATTTTATGTCTCAACTGCAAAGGTAACTCAGCCAGTGGATCTCTTGGAGTGCAGGCAGCGGACCTCCTTCTTACCACGCGACACTTCCTTGCCATGTCATCCCTCCCTGCACTCTGCAACATCTGCTGTATCTGCCTGGAGCATTTACTGGGAGGGAGAGACACAGGTGAAAAAGTGAGAGAAAAAGAAGAAAAAAGAGTACAGGTGGCAGGAGGAAGAGGAGAAGAGGACAGTAAAGGAGGGAATCATGCACAAACGGTACATCAAGGAGGAAGAAGAAGAGGGAGTGAAGATGTAACAAATGGTAGAACCCAGCTACTTGCTACACAAGCCCAAATACCCTCCACCCTTACACAGGTCTACCTCACTGTTATTGGTGCATTCCTGAGCCGTGACCCTGACAAAAGAGGAAGCAATGACATGCCAAAGACACCGCCACAGAGGTGAAGGCTGAGAAGAGTACCAAACACAACACCTTTTCACACCACTGACACGACATTCATAACATATAGTTTTACTTTCAGTACAGTTTGATTGTACTGAATTCAGAGGACTCCTAGCTGTTCAATGCAGTTTACTATTTTACTCAAAGGGAGAAGTGAAACCCTCTCGAAAGAGTTGTAAGGCGTTTCAATATAGTTTCACATGACCAATGAGGACCAATTGATTAAATACAAATGAATGAATTTGTTTTCTGTCCCTCGCTGCAGTACTGTGTATATGCTGAGTCAGTATCGATCTGAGCTGTGTGAGCTGAGTCAGCTGGCCTGGAAAGGCTTAGAGGAAGGCAAGATCCTCTTCGTGGAAGAAGACATTCCTCAGAATGTTTTGACGTTTTCAATCAGGACGGGACTCCTCTCACAGGTCAGACATGGTTGTCCAGTATGTGTGAATGAGCTCTACATGTCTGTGGGCAACTTTTGGCATGCTTTCTTTGAGCCATAACTTGGTTTGCTCAGTGTGCCAAACTAAGAATTTAGACCTCTTGTTTGCCTTTAATTACTACATCTCCACAACTTTGGATTGCATTTGTATTGTGGGCAAAATAGTTAAGTTACATTGACCCTCCTCTGCCAAAAATGCCTATAGCTGTAATATCTGCACTATTCTGTAGCATTAACAACTATAATCAGTTTCTCTATGGACATGGAGCAAGTGGTTACTATATAACAAGAGCAGAGCAGTAAAAGGTGAAGTTAATTGTGATGCCATGTTTGAGTTCTGTTGGTGGCAGCTCGTCATCTGAGCACCTCACTGTGGTTGCGAAAATGGAGAGGCCGATACCTGTTAAGCTGGAGATATACTTGCTGTTTAACCACGCAGATATGTCACAGGGATGTGCACAACCAACAGTGCAAATAGACACAGCACACTACGAGTTTTATCTCTGGCCTTAGATGACATTAAGAACAGCAGTATAAGAGTGGAGGAAAATTGTGTTGTCTGATTGTTGATGAGTATTCATAGACTGATTGTCAGATGGAGATAAGTCAGATGCTGCGCCCTTTATCATATGGCCTGGCTCCTTCAAATTCTTCTTTCTATAAATGACTCCCTCCTTCACTTCGATATTAAAACAAGGATTTATTGTTGTAATTCATGTTTCAAAATTCAGATGCAAATATGACCTATGGCAACATTGACATTCATGGTCTTTGGTTCTTTGGTTTAATATATTCACCTCTCTCATTGCACATCCTCACACCTAAAAAACTATGTAATACTGCTGCAATTTTTACATTAACGTAGCTGAAGACTGTTGTTAGTGACTTAATAAATATCACGTTTGTCCATATCTTCCTGTCAGATGGAGATCAGACGTGAGGATGGGACACCTGTCAACTCCTACTGCTTCATTCATCTAACGATACAGGAGTTTTTGGCTGCGCTCAGGATTATGACCAGTCAGGATGTTAGTGACACTCAGCTCAGGAAGAGGTAAGGAAATGAATTCAGAGAAGCCAAACAGAACTGGAAATGACCATGGTTATATTTATCAGGGCAATTGCAGTCTTGCTCTATGAAGCTGTCGATCAGGTGGCCTCCCTGAAGGTGAAAAGTTGGCACTATTTAATGGCAGTCACAGTATCCATTGCACTCAGTCGTGTAGATGGAATCAGTTATAATTACAATTAACTATAGCTTTTTTTTTTTTCTTTATACAACATTAGTACACAATTACAGTCATTTTTAAGTATTTAGTTTGTGCCTATTGACAGAACCCCCTGTCAACAGGCGCAAGTGATGAATGTAGGTAAGAGATGTATGTTTACAGTGCAACATGTACTATGACTGTGACCCAGTTTTCTGAATACCAACACCTACACTGCCTCATTTGAATGAAACCATCTGTTTGCACCTATTCAACCACACATGTATGCTGTATGGTCTGTGCTCCAAATGTACCACAAAAGCTCAGATTAACAATAACTTGTAAAGTGCTCTGAGACTAAAACAGAGACCTAAGCTTGAAAAGACATCTTATCAATAGTGGAGGAAGATCCTTAACTTTAAGTACAGTGTGTAACATTTAGGAGGATCTATTGGCAGCAATAGAATATAGTATTTATAGGTGTGTTTTCATTACTGTACAGTCAACTGAATATGAGAATTGTTGTGTTTTGGCTACCTTAGAGTGAGCTGTTTTATCTAGAGATGGAGCGGTTCCACAGAGTCTGCCATGTTGAACCACCTTGTTTCTAGGCCAGAACAGATAAACCAAAAGCTGTCTCTATAAGGCCTTTTTTTTCCAGGTTTCACAGCCATTATACACGCTTGGAAGGGGAGGATGTGGCGAGGGGTAATCATTTGGTTGCAATACAGCAAGTGAAAGTATGCAAGTATAATCGGGAAAAAGTATTTAAGGTATAGAAATGAAAGTAGTCTCAAACTCAGAAAAATTGCCCCTGTGACTGTCACACTATTATATCATTAGATTATCATTACTGATGGATTAATGTCTAAGCAGCATTCTGTTGTTGTAGTTGGTTGAGGTGGAGCTCATTTCGAACTATTTTGTATAAGACTGCAACTTATTTTATATTTTTCATTATGATTTTGTCTCCTGATTGTTTTCTCAATTAAATTGATTTAATTTAAATCTAATTTTCTACCATTTTCTGCACCAAACAACGTATCGATAATAATCAATCGACAATTAAAATAAACGTTAGTTGCAGTACTAGGAAGTACAAGATTTTAGTAAATGTGCTTTGTTACATTCGACTACTGCATCTCATATGTCAAAAATCATAACAATAATTCCATTCAAGTATGTAAGTAAGTAATTACAAAGTATGTCTTCAGTAATTAGTGTTCAGGGGTACTAATCTGAATTATGATACAAGTTGCACAAGAGTGTTATAGGATTTGACCATATAGAATTACTGTCCATACCAGTAATAACCTAGCTATGGAAAGAGATGATTCGTGTAAGATGAGTAGACTAAAAGACTGTCTGACCCTCCTCCTTAAAAGGAGACCATAAATGTGCTGAAGCAGGCTCAAAGTGAATGGTCCAATCACAGCAGTGGTGGCTCAGGGGGTCAGCAGAGAGGGATTAAGGGTGGGACACTTACCAGTGAGACATGACACAGCAGGAGGCCTTCCTATGTACTGCCACATTTATGGCAGGGCAATTAATTACATTTTATTTTCAATTACAATTTTGACTTCCAACGATTATGGAAACAGTTTTTATCTCAGCTTGATAATTGAGATAAAAAAAAATATTGTGCTGCATCCGTTTCACAATGATGCTCTTAGTTTGTCTTGTGTTATAAATCCAGCACACCCCTCCCTAAAAGCCCAAACTCACTTTCAGGTTACTCACCCACGTGTTTAGTTCAGCTTGAGCCAAGACAATGTGTTTTTCAGTTGAATTGAAATCCACTGTTAAAAGAACATTTTATTTGAAATCCACTGTTAAAAGCACAATTTTTTTGAAAGTTTAGTGAATGATGTTTCCAAAGTCAATCAGTAACTGTGTTAAAAATCTCAATGTTGACCAAATTAGTCACATATCATATTTTCCTTGTAAAGGGAATGCTGCTATGTCACCAGTCAACTGGGTGCTCAAACATAAGAAAACTCAGTGTGTGTGTGTGTGTGTGTGTGTGTGTGTGTCATTTAATTAACACCTTTTATTTTACTGTAAAAGCTATAAAACCCTGTTTACGCCCCTATAAATATGCACGTTAAATGAATGTAGTGGAGACACATGCCATATATAACTGCCACATCCGAGGTTTGAGTCTGTCTGGGTTTTTTTTAAATTGTCATACCCTGTATATGCTAAAAAAAATCCCTGCACTGCCATGGTTGCAGGCAGTGCAGGGATTTTCCCTAATCAATCAGGCTGTCAAAAGCAGTTAAAACTGCAGTCAGATGGCTTGTATCCTACTACTGTGGCAGTTCATTACAAGGTTTGTGTCATAGTGATCCCACAGCTGTGAAACTAGCGGGCTCCGCATGGCAGCTCTGAAAGCATCATGTTACAACATCCATAGAAATAACAACATCTCTCTGATGATCACCAAGCAGGTGGTGTGAGTTATTCTCATATGGCAGGAGAGGCTAGGAAGTGTCCTCTATACAGCAATATAACTTAGTCCAATAAATATTGTGTTTGCTCTATCCTCTTCCTTATTGCTCTCTCAGATTCAGTCTGAAAACTCGCTGGATGACCAAGTCAGACCAGAGGACAGTTTTTACTGACTCCCTGTATCTGTATGTATGTGGCCTGGCTTCCCCACACTGCACTCCAGCCTTAGTTCAATTAGCCAGGACGTCTGGTGGAACAGGAAGCCAAAATTGGGTCCAAAAACGACAAGCCCTCGTTCTGAAACTGCTGAAAAACCTGTGTCACAGCAACACTCTGACTGGACCAAAGGTAGAACATGAGCTGAAGTGAATTCTGATAAACAGATGTATAATTTACATATAATTGTCTTCTCCCTGTTTTTTTCTTTACTGATTCTACCTTCTTACATCTTGTCAGATATTGGAGCTTTGCCATTGTGTCCAAGAAAGCCAGGACCACCAACTGGCTGAGCAGGTTGTGCATACAAGACCCAATCTGGAGCTGCGTAACATCCGGCTATTACCTAATGATATAGATGCTCTGGCTTTTGTAGTTAACTCAGTAGGTGATAGTGGTATTGGGCTGGACTTTGGAGCATGCTCAATGGAGTTGGAGTGTTTAGATGACCTTCCCAGGTGTCAGTACGTTCACTACCTCTGGTAAGTCCACACAAGTTATACATGTAAAGTGCAAAACAGATTCAAAATGCAAAGGAACAATTTTTATGTTGAGAGGGGAAGGACGCTTGAATTTTATAAAATGTCATGAAGCTGCAATTACATGACTCTGCTGAATTGTCCGCTCTCGCTCCACTTTGAGGATGGGCAACTGGAACAGTGATGGAGCGTCAATCAGATATAGAAGTTTTCCCCCAGTAACAAAAACAAGAGTGAGTGAGATGTGTCGTCGGCTCACATCGTCCTCCTCAAGATCCTCAATACCAGTTCGACTACCAGTTCAACTGTTAATTGAGCTGTGTAGCTTTATCGGGTTTTATTGTAAAAATGTTTGCACTTTTTGTCTCCTTCACGCTTGGAAGGGGAAGTGAAACAAGGGAGTAACGACACCTCAAGATGCCACTAAATCCTACACACTGGTCCTTTAAACTGCTGTATTGTCCAACTGGCATTAATATTATGCTAGTGGAAGGCTATATAGTGTACTACTATGTGAAATTATAATGAATATACTAACATTATATAATACTTACTGTATAAACATATTTCACACATTATTGTTATAAATGTTGTTCTGTGATCTCTTTTACATAAAGTGGGGGGTGGTGGCTGCTGAAAAAAAAAACCTAAAGGAAACACTGACAGCGGTTGCTGACATTCCTCAGCTTATTGGCCACCTGTTGCACATTGCTGTGAAACGGACATAGGCTCTCTGTTTGCTGCTGTGTCCCAGACGTTGGCTCAGTGTTTCTGTAACATGCTGCCTGGACTCAAGGGCAAAAAGACGACAAGGATATTGTTATTAAACCATCTCAAAAGAAAATTAACTCCCACACAGTGTGAATACTTGCCTTTAACTTAATAGGACCTTCTTAAGATAAGATCAACTCACACATAAAATAATAAACAAGTGAAGCCAGAAGGTGTCAAAAGCAAAACTGGGGACACAGACTGAGCTTCCAAAATAACAATTTTATTTTTATTTTATATTTTATGTGAAAAACAAACAGAAGCTTTTGTTCATAAGTTTGGTGAAAGCATGGTATCCTGCACACTAGACACTTACCAACATTAGGTTTCATTATGAATTTTTTCTTTGACTGTTTGTTTACTTTCAGTTTTCGCAGCCGCAAGTATGGCGACAAGTTTGCTGAGAAGTTGTCCTCCATTTTGCCAAAATTCACAACCCTGAGAAAGCTAGAGTGAGAACCTATTTTCTTTTCTTTTCTTTCTCTTTCTGTTTTCTGTCTGTCACTTTCTTGAATTCATATCTGGCCTATCAGGAGTGGTGTAGTCTAAATGTTGTTTCCCTTCCTCAGACTATACTCACAGATCAGTGTAATTCAATTTGAAATACTGTAATGGCCCTTAACACCCCTGCGGCAATGATTGACTGATTTTCTCTTTTGTCCTCTCAAGGTTTTGTGGTGCCAGTCTCACTGCCACAGGAGCAGCTAGTTTGGCCTCTGCTCTACAGAACTGTCCAGACGTCACTGAAATCAAGTATATTTGCTACATCATATTTGTTGTGTTTCTGACTGAGTAGGGTTGCTGACACCTGATACCTAACATAGTGTAATGCTGAAATATATTGGATGCTGGTGTGAAAATTGACACCAAGGATCTGTTTTTACGTTGCAGTCTGAGTGACAACAATCTGAAAGATGCAGGGATCGAACACATAGCTGATGTTTTTACCAAACTACCAGGACTGGTCTCGGTGCTGTGAGTACATGCTGCTAATGAGAAGCTTTTTTTTTTAAATAACCTCAATATCTCAAGATTTTGCTGATTTTTAGTATTATTACTATATTATTATATTATCATAGTATATTATGAGTATAACGTGTGTGTGTGTGTGTGTGTGTGTGTGTGTGTGTGTGTGTGTGTGTGTGTGTGTGCACCTTGCAGGCTGGGTCGAAACAACAGCTCTCTGAAAGCAGTGGACTATCTCATCGGGAAGATGTCTTCATGTTTGAACATCGAGCACATTCACGCAGAGTATGAGCACACACACACACACAGTCACACACCAACTAAGTTACAGGCATCGATATTTTTACATGATTTAACACAGAGGCCATACAGCCATACATCGCCACAGGCTCTTTGTTATGGAATCTATGTCAATTTGGGGTTTATTTTCCGCTCACTGACATTCTTTTAGCATTTGACTGCAATGTATGGACTGCACACATCATCTTGGTCAGCATTTTCTGCATCCAAAGTATTTTCTCAGTCATATGTAACCTTCAGACTTACTTCATAGACCTCCAAGGCACTAAATAAAAGTTTTAGGTTATTTGAACAAGTAAGCAAGTAAACATTGTCATACAATGTAGATTTGTATCTTTTTGCAGTGGGATGAAGGAAATGACGGTAACTTTCTCCCAAAACTTCGATTTGAACAGGTGAGTTAAATGGTTGGATAAACATTATGAGTAAATAAAAGTAATTTAACATATGGTGTCTATGAATAACATTGTCATCAAATGAACTCTGCACATACTGACCATTTATATTCCTGAATTCCCCTCTGCAGCCATAAGTCTGAACCTACAATCAGGTAAGACAATGACACTCTTATCAAATGTTGATCACCTTCCAAATCTTTACTAACATAGCCAGTTTCCTGAACTTTGCTCCTCCTTTGAAGTAAAATGGCTCTTAACAAGGTTCACATACCAGAAACAGCCTCTGAATGTGTGAACTCAGTCAGTTCAGTTTATGTGCCGATTGACTTGAATTTGATTCAGTTCATGGTTTTCAATTTCGATGTTTAGCACTTTTTTTATTGTTGATAATCCTGTGGTACTATTTGTTCTCCAGCTTGTTGAACCAGAAATGGAGCACACCTGAGATGCAAATACTTGCAGAGTCATTGGCACGTTGCCCTGCCTTGTCTGTCCTGGAGTAAGTGAGCTTTACCAAAGATAGAACCAGTGGTGGAATTAAACTAAGTATACTCAAGTACTATACTTAATGGTGGGGTAAGCAATTTTGGAGAAATCTAATACCATGACATATGAATACCATCTGTCCGATCCACTCTCTTTCCCATTTACTGAGCCAGAGCTGTGTACAACCACCGATATTCAGTTTGAACAAAAGGTTTATTGGATTAGAATCACATTACTCCACCTTCAAGTATGAATTTCCATTATATACAACTTTATATTTATACAACAGCTCAGAGGCACATATTGTACTTTTTACTCCTCTACATGTCAGTCAGTTTTAGTTAGTAGTTACTTTTACCCTTCTTGTCCAGTGAAAACCACGTATCTCCAAATTTGGTGCTTGTGAATGTGAATGTTCCTTCATGGGTTGAGAATATGTTCCTTCATATTAAGTTAAATAAAAAACTTAAAAACTCTCTTGTATTAGCTGGAAAATGCATTGTCACAAAATGCATTGTGCTGTTTTTCTGAGCTCATGAAAAACTGACCTTTTAGAGCTACGTGGTTCTCACTGGACAGAAATGCTATGAACATATGATCTTAAACTCCCCAACAGTATATAAAGTTGATAGCTCCTTAATCTTAAACCTTAAAGGAAAACTCTACTGATTTTGGACCAGCTTTGTGTGATTACAATGTGTCATCTGGTGGACTCTTGCTGGTAAATAAGCTCTTGGTAATGATATAAAGCTGGTTGAAAGTCGACAAGGTTTCCCTTGAACTACAACAATAAAATGCAACAGTAATGCAGAGCCGGTCCAGACCTCCCCGGGGTCCTAAAAATTGTGCTAGAAGGTCCTCCTATCTGACCCGTAAGCCATGTAAACTATTTGCCATTGCCACACAGTGGCACCTGATACCCAGTACTCCTACTACAATCCTCCCTCCTTTTAAAACAGTTTACTCCCTCTCTCAATCCAGGAATTAGTAGATCTATACAGAACAAAATTATATATATTATTTATTTATATTTATTTATCATTATATATATAAATAAACAATATTTATTGAATAGAATATTTTATATTGAAGTAAATATTAACAATAACATTGTAGAAAGGGCTCTGCTGCCTGGAAATTTGTCCAGTCCTCACAATATTCTAACATTAACTTTGTCTATACAATGTGAACATAAGCCTACAGGCTCTGGCTGCACAAAATGCCAGGTCCATTCAAACTGGCTAACCCCGATTCCCTTTTATACACCTAAAAATATAAAATACTATATATATATATATATATATATATATACATATACTGTATATGGCTTGACTGAATACTTGATGGTTATTGTTTACTGAGATATGTGGATCCATATTACAGGATGCCCAGCTAATCAACATTTTAAGTTCAATATTTAATCAATAGTCAATGTCAGTCCATTGCTTTACATCTTACATTACAGAGCTGTAACTAAACCTTGCCATCACGCCCATATGCTGTCTGAACCGGTGCCCAGAGACTTTACTGCTGCTAGATAGTGCGAGTTTCGTTCCGTGCACGCACATACAAACACGTGTTCATGCGTGAATCTCATTCACTCTCATGGTGTTCTTTTCCTCTTTTTCTGATAGATAGTTCCGTTTATCCACTGACCACTATTCACTGAAGTTGTAAACATTGACACAAGAGGGAGGCTGGGCCCTTGCGTAATTTGCAGGGCCCTACGCAGCTTGCGTAGTGTGCGTTTAGGGTGGACGGGCTCTGAAGTAATGTTAAGTCAAAACATCATATATAATATTGAAACACTGTCAGGGACCATTTTTCTACACAATGAGTACTTTCGCTTTTGATACTTTCCTTAAAATTTGCTGTTAACACTTACAAACATGCATACTTTTACTTGAGTAAAGGATCTAAATACTTGTTCCACCACTGGATACAACGTACTGAAAGAGAATAATGCAGTGCTGAGTATAATAACTGCTAGTTATTGACCTCTTGTTTTATTTGTCTGTGTGGTCAAAGTTCAAGCATTCACAGTGTAAGTAACTGGCAGATGATGTGTTTTATGTGACTTCCTACTACTTCCCGTTTTGTCACTGGAGCAAGGTTGACCACAACTGACATTTATGCATGTTATAATTAGATATTCAGCACTATCATTTATCACTGCTAGTGAGAGTGGATACCCTGGCTGTAATTCAGATTGAATCATTTGTAATACTACTACTGCGAGTGAATTAATTCAAAACAAATGTTTATATAGTTCTGTGTGTATATGTGTGTGTGTGTGTGTGTGTGTGTGTCCACCCTAGTCTGTCTGGAGGCCAATGGGATGTGGAAACTCTAAGGACACTGACTCAGTTCTTGCCAAAGTTCAGTGTCACCAAAAAGATCATGTAAGACTGGATTTATACCAAACTACCCATCACAAAGCACACAAGATAAGAGTGACATAAAGTTATGAATTCTGCATATGGCACATTTTTACTAATATACTACTAATACTAATATGCCAGTTATGCTATACTAACAAAAACAGTGTTTGACATTCATAAGAACTGAACAGCAGCAGATTGTTGACGTTCAGATGTTGCTTCTCAGTCTGAACGACAGCTGCTCTTCAGTGGAGGGCTTGGTGATTCTGACTGCTCTCCTGTCTGAATGTCCGACTGTGATGGAGCTTCATATCAGGTACAAACATATATACGTACCATAAATGCACACACCTCTTAAACATACTTCACTAACAAATTTACTCACATCAGACAGGACCATCATACCATTCCTCTCCTACAAACAATCAGCAACATATTTAAATTTTATTTAGCCTGCAATTGTATGGTTTGTTTAGTAATAATAAGCCACATATGTAGGTAACTTAAAAACTCCCAGACATGTTTTGCAACAGTTTAGAACAATAATGTGTGCGATTTCCTCAAAAGAGTATAAATAACTCTAACCCTAACTCTAATAATAACCCTATTGATATGCACATTTCTCAAGTTTTCTTGCTGGACACAAGATGTCTTCTTTGTCCATTCTCACTGTATGTGCACTGGCTTGTATATCTTGTATAAGTTGCATGGTGGACCAGGGTTGACTTCCAAACTGTATCTGTATTTTCTTCATGTTTCAGACTACAGAGTCCTATTCAGGTCTCTATAGTGTTCTCTGGAGGGAGAGAAAAACCTGCAGATAAAAGATCTAAACTGCTCTGGTATGTATTAAGTACAAACAATAGACAAAGAACAATTTTGGAACAAAGGGAAACTTTATTTTATACATTTATGTTACTAAATATTGGTATTACTGGTGGTAATTATGATGCTGTTGCCTCTGTTAGTCTCAGCTGCTGTGGTCTGCAGCCTGCTGATCTGGAGAAAGTGTGGAGGAGTTTGGGAACCTCACCTGATCTCACTTTGCTGGAGTAAGATACAAACAAACATAATCAAAAACCAATCATTTTATTACGTGTAACAGCAAGTCATTAACACACTCTGTACTGAGATAGACTGTGAAGTACATACTGCTGTGTAAAAAATCTAAAAATACTATTCTCTCCTGACCTCTTATGTTACGTGTTGGTCAGCAGTAGCAACCCATTTCAGTCCAGTAGCTGAAATCAACTATGTTGAATTCAGCTTTGGAAAAACAAACTTATTCATCTCTAGTTTATAGTTACTCTTGTTAGTTACTGTACCTCTTTAGCAGTCATCATGTCTCTGCAGTGGCCATAAATTGCAGTTTAATGTTATTTTTATGTATTATTATTTTTTATGCAAACCTAGTTTATTTTATTATTTCTACCTATGTTGAACTCTTGTTTTTGTCTCTGACATTATTTGAACCCCACATTCTTGTCCGTCAGTCTGTCCAGTAACTGTTTAGGCAACAAAGGTCTGAGGAAACTGTTGGAGGTCCTGCCTCGGCTTAGTATCATCCAGGAGATCAAGTAAGACTTGCACACAAAGTGTCAAAACATCTGAAACTTTACTGGTGATAACAAACCCCCAAAATAGGGAGTGTATTTATTAAGAATGAGTGACTCTGCTGGTAGGATTTTGTGTGTTTTGAGTGTTTCAAATGAAAGATGGTGGTAGACTGGGCTGGTCTAATCTAGCTGGCAAACACTGGGCATTTGTTTTCTCACCAAACCGGTTCCAGGCAAAACGTGCCAGTGCTGGCAATTACTACCCTGGGGTATTATTCAGTATAAATATCTTATTTAGAGCTAAATGATGTCCCTCGCCCTGGCTCATTGTTTTTTGTGTGTGTGTTTTTTAGTGCCAGGAACAACGAGATCAGCATGGAAGGAGTGGTGATGCTGGCTGGTGCTTTGTGTTCCCATAACAACTTAACACAAATTCACATCAGGTGCTTTTTGTTTTTTTTAGGCATTAATAATTAATTTTATTAGAGAATCTAAACAGTAAGCACCTGTTTCAAGCAGCCAGATAGAACAGCTGATAGAAGCTGTGTAACAGCTCATTTTTTATCTGTTAAAATACCAGTATATATGTCATAAACACTAAGTGACTTGGGGGACATTGGTGTTGTTAACTATAAACTAGTGTTGTGCACATTGTTAATCTGATAGTGTCCTGTTGGTTTTATAGTGATGGAGGCAGAGAGCAGCTGACCCTGAAGTTCTGCCCTGACAAAAGGTAGAAAAGCTCCACACATCTGGACACCACTGTCTGCTTTTTCATTTGTCAGTTAGTAAGCTAATGCTGTGCTCTTTTTTTTAGCGATGACAAACAGCAGCTAAAGATGTTCAGGTACAGTATGCTGATAAAGAGAAACACTCATACACAATTCTCTTTAAAATACAATACAAATATATATAATATGTAATCTATAATATGAATACAAAATGATCCTTTTTTTGTGCTGCAGGATAAACAACAGCAGCCTCCTGCCAAATAATATGACCACACTATGTAGAAGACTGGTCCAATGTCGCTCCCATTTGGAGTTAGAGTAAGTTTCATTATTTTATATCCATCAAACATGATTTATTTCAGGATTATGACCAAACAGGTAGACATGAATTTACTTGTATGTTGTGTCAGTTTGTCTCACAGCTCTCTGACAGACACAGCTATTGAGAATCTGCTGAAGGTCCTGCCGAAGATGACGTCACTGCGGAGACTCAAGTAAGCCATACACACACACACACACGTGTGAGATAATCAGTGTGGATGGTTTTGTGTGTGAGAATGACTAAAGGTTTCTTTAAGTATATATAGTTGTTTCACATTGAAAAACCTTATATCCACGCATTCGGTGAATGGAGCTGAAGCTCCCTATATAGGCCAGACTGTCCTGGCAAAAAAAGTAATTTAAAGTATTTTGATATTTAAAAAAATAAGTTATAAAATTAGGACTTCCTGTTGATTTTTCGTCAAAAAAGGAAGTGGGGTATTTCTCCACATTGGTATGTCCGATTTACACCAACCTTGGGTCAATAGTTCCTTATGTCTTCATTAGGCGTCGTGCACAATCTTGAACAATATGAGGCCACCGCCACAAGGTGGCGCTCTTTCAAAGTCAAACGTTTATATCTCTGTGTCGGCAAGTGTGATTAAAACGAAACTTGGTAGGATGATTGCCCATGGCTCCCTGAAGCTCCCCTAAAAAGGAAAAAAAATCACGCCACCGGGTGGCGCTCTGGTGGAAGATAATTAGCTGTGCGGAGACCGTAATAGTTATGAATATGAAATTCACAGGACACGTGTAGGCTGCTGCCTGTAGCTCACATACCAAAATTCATGTTTGTCGTGGTTGTAGCGCTCCCTACAGGATTTTTAAAAAGCAGCCCCGGCGCCGCGTTTCGCCGATATGTATGAAACTCGGTAGGCACGTGTAACGTGCCAAGACATACAAAAAAGCCACTTGGGCCCATGCCCCAAAACCCACATGAAGTCTGCAATTTTAACTTTTAATTTTCACTCACGGCGTCCATTTTGTGGTCATTTTGACTTTTTGGGCTTGTATTTGAACAAACAAACTCCTAGGGAATTTATCAGATCTGCTTCAAAACTGGACAGTACTCTTGAATAATGTTGCTGATTACAAGTTGTGCTATTTGACTGTACGTTGAAGGGCGTGTCTGTGGCGTGCCTTCAAAGTTGGCCATTTTGAATTCCCTGGTCATTTTCTGTGAATTTTCGCCTTGTATTTGAACAAACTCCTCCTAGGGAATTTATCGGATCTGCTTCAAAATTGGTCAGTACAGTCAAACAATGGTGCTGAATGAACGCTGTTCATTTTCTGACTGTACTTTGAAGGGCGTGTCCGTGGCGTGCCGTCAAAGTTGGCCATTTTGAATTCCGTGGTCTTTTTTTCTAAGTGATAAAACACAAACACCCCTCCACTCCCACTAGCCACATGTACAAACCATATTTCCTACGGAGTATTGTTCGTGGAGTATTGTAGGAAACCGCAGGAAGTCAACTATTAAATTGCAAGATAAATAGGGGACTTATCAAATCTACTTCAAAATTGGACAGTCTTATAAAAACAAACTGTAGATGAAGAGTTGAGCTATTTGTGACGTATACGTCAGACCGCGTGCCAGTGACGACTTGTCGAATTCAGCCGATTTTCCATTAAACAGTACTCATAACTTCAGTGTGCAATGTCCAATCTCTAATAAACTTCATATATTCTGTAACAGTCTCGCCCTGAACACGTCCTCATAACTTCAGCGTACGTGGTCCAATCCCAATGAAACTTCACGTGTTTGATAAGAGTCCCGCCCTGAACACGTCTACATGACAATATTCATAGTGATAGCGACTGGCAACAGGAAGCAACTGCTGCCTGGCGATTTTGAGCTGATTTACGTGAGATTTTCATGTCGTGGTCCGCACGTGTTATGACGGCACGTGAGGCGGCCGCAGCACACACCGAGTTGCACAGAGTGCGAGGTCCCGCCCAACGCAGCTTTCATTTTGTTTTGTTGTGTGAAACTTCAATAATTGTGATTGGGAGTATCTACAGAAAACCACATGGAGGAGTTGTCTATAGAAATGGTTGTGTACTGAGTGTTTAAAGGTCCAGTGTGTAACATTTAGGACAATCTATTGTCAGAAATGGAATAATATAATATTCATAGGAATGTTTTCATTAGTAATTTATGTATGTATGTATATATATATATATATATATATATATATATATAATCACCTGAATATAAAAATCATGTTTTCGTTACCTTAGAATGATCCTAAAAGGGAAGGGTCCTCTTTTACGGATGCCACTATGTTTGTATTTATTTTTCTACAGTAGCCCAGAACGAACAAACCAAACACTGGCTCTAGATAGTGCCTCTCACATTTTTTGTGAGATTCACGGCCACCATAGTTTCTCCTAGAGGACTGGAAGGCTGAGCAGTATTCAGCCAATTGCAATATGCAACTTCACCACTAGATGCCACTAAATCCTACATGCTGGTCCTTTACAACTGTACTGACACGTATTGTTAGTTATTATTGAAAATATTTAGATGAAGCCACAATTCAGAAATACATCCAGTCCGGTGACATCAGTGTGAAATGGGAAACATAATGAAGTGTTAATGATACCATGGTATGTTATTTAAATAAAAAACACCAACTGGGTGTCACTGCTAAAGCTTTTGATGGAAATTGCTTTTTTTTTTCTAACTGTGCTTCGTCTACTAGAAACTGATTCCTCTTTTTCCACAGTGTCAGCCACAGCATCACGTCCACAGCTGAAGCACTGATGTTGCTCAGTTGTTTGACTGTCAGTAAGCGAGCCACATCAGTGGAGCTCAGGTACTTTCCTCTGTTGCATGCAGCGTGCCACAATTGAAGTTCTAGCTTTTTTTCTGAATCCAGGCAGTTTGTTCTGTAGTGGCTACAGTTAGTAGTAGTCGTCATAATAAATATGTCACTGCAATAAGTATATATGTTTTTGTTAAATACTGTTTTGAATTCTTCTTCAGGCCTCAGACTGAAGCCTTCCTCCATTTTGAGAGTGTGAAAGCAGAACACGCCAGCTGCAGGTCGGTGATCAGCATTTGACATTTTTTTAGTGCACTGTCTACTGGTATGTCTTAAAAAAACCTGGGTGGGTGTTGAGTCTGACTGCCAGTGTATGTGGTTCAGTTTAAATATGATCAGAAAACTGTGCTGTGTGCTTTCTACCACAACTGAAGACCGAAGCAAATGTACAATTTCTTAAACATTGAATAGGCGAGAACATCCTCACTCTGCTTTTATTTTAGTGTGTAACAGAAAAATACAACAACTGCTAAGTGTACTATTTCATCAGTCACCATAGACATTTATTTTATCGTACATAAGTAGTAGTTAATCATGACTCAGAGAAGCTGAGAAATTGTCAGAAGAAAAAGTGGAAGTTGGTGATTATCTTATCATGAAGTGTTAGTTGTGCTAATTACTTGTGTCTGTTCTTTTAATCACAACAAATACTAGTACTTTTTCATCCAAAATAATAGTTTCACACATCACAGCTGGCTGCGACTTTCTAACTTAATACCCAAATGTAGTGTCTAATGTAGTGTCTGTCTGTCTGTCTGTCTGTCTGTCTGTCTGTCTGTCTGTCTGTCTGTCACAGGTTAACTCATTTTGACTTGAAGGGTGACAGCTTGGACAGATTGCTCGAGATCCTACAGCAGGGTCCTCCCCTGTCTGACCTGGAGTATGTGTCACACACACACACACACACACACACACACACACACACACACACACACACACCACAGTCTTTCACCCATATACTGTACATACATACTAGCACTGATTTACTTGATGCTGAGTCATCTTTTCTTTTGGCTGCAGTTTATCAAGTAACCGCCTGGCAGATGAAGGAGTGAAGCGTTTCTTGGATTCTCTACCGAACCTTAAAATCACCAACTACGTCATGTGAGATATATGTTATGAAACACTGATCACATTTTTTGTTTTATATTCATCTTTTAGCAGCTGTATAGAACAACACAACACACAGTAAATATAAAAAATAAAAAATAAAACTTTTTCACATCAGACTTTTTGAAAGTTACTTATAACATTAACGATGGCTCTGTTCTGTTCAAGTATCCGAGTGAGCCATGAAGGTTTGACTCTGAGCCAGCATGAACAACACTAGGGCTCTGAAACTGATTCAGCTATATGGAATCATTCATTTATTTTAATATAAACACTTGTTTCGTGTCAAAATGTCTTCTGTAAAATTGGCTTTGTTTTTCATATAAAAAGGGCCATTGTGTAACATTTAGGATGATCTATTGGCAAAAATGGAATATAATATTCAAAGGAATGTTTTCATTAGTGTACATCACCTAAAAATAAGAATTGTTTGTTTTCGTTACCTTAGAATGAGCTGTTGATAGCTACAGAGGTAGAGGGTCCTCGTCTACGGGGTCCGCCATGTTGAACTGCCATGTTTCTACAGTAGCCCAGAACAAACAAACCAAACACTGGCTCTAGAGAGGGCCTTTGGCAGTTTTAATGTGTTTCCTTGCCTCCTGCATGCTTGGAAGGCTGAGCTGTATTCAGTTGGTTGCAGTTTCAAACTTTACCACTAGATGTCACTAAATATTGCAAACTGGTCCTTTACATGTTTATTTAAAAAAATCCAATATATTGTTATCTGACGTTTTCCATTCCTCTAAAATACCTCACTTACCGTATGTTGTTGATGATATGATAGTGGATGGGTTAAATACAGATTACACATACAGACAGACAATTTCTGGTCTTTAATGCGTCTCCATCCACAGTTTGAGCAACAATGACCTGACACAGCAGGGACTGTTGGAAGTGGCGAGCACGCTGTGTACATGTGGTAACGTCTCTGGTGCAGAAGTGAGGTGAGTCTGTGCATTGTGGAAGTGAATGAACAAAGGACCAAAAGAAAAAATCAATTCAATGAATTGTTCAAAGCATGGAAAACTGAATGAATGAATGAGGTTTTTGTCTATGTCTAGTTTGGCAGCAGAGGAGAGGTGTCTTATCTGGTTTACCCAATACGACGGCTGTGAAAAAACTCTGAGGTAGGACAAGAATCCAAAATTTCAAAAGTATAAGTAACTAGCATGTCATTGTGCAGAGGTTTTCCATGTATCTGCCACAAAATGTCAGAGTGAATTCAGTGTTTTATTGTTAGCATTCACAGTTAGAACAAGTCCCTGTTTGTTGTCTTATAAAATACTTTAAAGGTTTCAGCTGACATTCAATTAATCAGTTTGGTACTATATACATTTTACCCATATGTTGACTTATACTTTGTTTTATTCCCTCCTATCTTTTCTGCCACTCTGCCAGCATCAGAGAGAGTAGTTTGGAACGTGGTCATCTGGTCAGATTAGCAGAGATCGTGTCTGCCTGTCCCAGTCTGACCAAACTGGAGTAAGTAACCCTCCAACTCTGGGCCATTTAGTTCACTTATTCTTAGTTTAACAACTGACTAACTTTTAGCCTCAAGAGACAGAAATTATATAGTTTTTCATGCATTATTAGTGATTTGATGATCAATGTGATCATCATGTGAAAATCAGGAACTATTATTTGGTGATTGGTCCACAGATTCAAGAACAATTTGCTACAGTCGGATTCGATTGAAGACTTTGTGAAACTGTTGAACAGCAGCGAGAGAGGAATCAGTGTCAGGTGAGAATCAATTCAGTAGATGTAGCATGTGCTGTGTGCTCCTGAAGAGAAGAATCAAACAAGACACTTATCATACGGTCCATATTGCTTTTTACTGTGTTTCTGTCCATATAGCTGAATTAAACAGTGTCCATGTGCTGCATTATATTGTTGAAACACTGAGCTGCATTACCCTCTCTCTTCTTTGTCAGTTTTGAGGAGGGTTGGATCAGATCTGAGGAAGCTGTTAGTTTGGTGTGTCGCTGTCTGGAGCTCAACGGTAACATATACACCATCAGGTGAGATATGCAAATCAGCATGTTGGACAACTGTACACTTGTTGTAGTGAAACCCATACCTATTCACACTCACTGTAGATTACCCCCATTAAACCATATACCTACACATTTACTTTGCAGAGTTCACCAAACCACGCTACACCTGTCTCTGATGAAGTCCACTGAACTGACTTCAGTCAGGTAATATGTCTCAGGTTGCATATTTAAATGACTGTCCCCCTCCACTTTAACAATGTGTTTAGTTTATTGTTCCTTCTCTTGGATGTTTGAGCTTCACTGTGCAGAATGATGTATGTACTAGAAGGCTGTTTTTACATTCATCTCCTGTAGAGGGTTTTAACATGTACAGTATAAGCTAGACTCACAAGCCAGTGGCTGCTCTCTCTGCCATTATACTTTTTCTAATTTAGAAATCCCCTGACAATTGGTAGGCACTCCAATATCACAATACTACATCACAACTAGTATGGAAGCCAGTCTGTACTATATCAGACTAATTATTATTATATTTGTCTTAATATTTGTCAGGAGGGGATATTTTATTATCTTACCCCTGCAGTTGAAATGCACAACTTTATCTCACATTATCACGGCAGTGGTCCTTCTTTCTCTTGAAAACAAATAAAACAGAAGTTGCACTGTTAAGATTGTCATACATAAACAAGATTTTGTTTCAAAGGCTTATGAATTTAATCAACAACTCTGGAGGAAGTAGTAAAGCCAAATGTTATTTGTCTAAGTAGCTGATGACAGCAGGAAAAACACTTGCTGGCAGTTGTACAGGTCCTGTAGGAAATAGGTGTTAATCTCTCCTCTCCTCTCCTCTCCTCTCCTCTCCTCTCCTCTCCTCTCCACCAGCCTTGTGGACTGTGCAGTAGAGGGGCACCAACTTACATCGATGACAAGCATTATCCAGAAGTGTCCTTTACTGACAGAGCTAGAGTTAGTATTCTCTGTTTTGTGTATGAATATAATATTCACATTCAATCAGTGTGCACGAGAGATGTATTTGAAGAAAAAATGAAAGAAACAAAGCGGAAAAACAAACATGTTTGTTGTCATTATTCACAGTATTTCTCACAACAGCCTGGGTATAGAGGGAGCTGAGTTCCTCTGTTCTGTTCTGCCTTTGCTGCCAAATCTCAAGTCTCTTGGGTGAGAACTGCACTTTTATTACTACTACAAATTGCCTGTTTTATAGTTGTAGCATGACAAGCATCTACTGTGATCTTTTGCAGTATTGGTTCCAAAGAGCCGTGTTTGACTGTGGTTCAGAAGCTCTCAGAGGCCTTGCTGCAGGCTACAGCCATTCAGTGCCTAAAGTGAGCAACACATACACATTTCATTACTTGTCTGGAGCATTCTCGTTTTGTTTCCTCTCACTGTCTTCATTAATAGTTTATTCTATCTGGCTATAATTGTCTTGTGCATTATAGGCCTTTCAGGTGGCCTGGGAGCATTCACGATCAAGCTTTCTCTTTAGTTATGGGCCAAGCATCAAACACTTGTATTGACGCTATAGACTTATTGTCATTTCTCCAGTTATCTTGCAAATAATTCCAGTATTTCATGGCTCTTTTTTTCTACTTTGACACGCATGATAATAACTCTACCTCACATTGTTTTAATTTGATTGCACAGCCAGCACAACATTCATAATTGAAGTGAATTTCATGAAGTGAAATCTTCCTTTTTTACTCTACCAGTCTGTCAGGTCATGTGATTGATGACACAGCAGCTCAGATTATGACCACAGTGTTGCCCCGTCTACGGTTACTCGAGTAAGCATTTCACATTCAGCATAATAGTATTATAAGTAGGTGTGATAATGTCACAGGAAGTTATGGACATAATGTGGTTTGCAGAGTGTTTCAACCATCTCATAGAGCATATGAAACCGAGACAATGGTATCATTTGATTTGTCTTTTATAGCCTGTCTCACTGTGCCTGGTCAGCGGCTGGAGGGCTGCAGCTCATCAAAGCACTGGGAGAATGTGTCAGTCTGGAGGGCCTTTGGTAATATATAAATTATAATATATATATGCATATGATTGAAGTCTGCAAAAGTGTCTGGATACAGATGGACTTGCTTCTATAGTGTCTTGAAGTTCTTAATGTGTCTTTCTGTGTGTGTGTGTGTGTGTGTGTGTGTGTGTGTGTGTGTGTGTGTGTGTGTGTGTGTGTGTGTGATTCTGTGAACACCCCCAAGTCTGGACTCTTTGCAGCTGAATGAGAAGAGCATGATGTGTCTAGCACAAGCACTAAAGAATATCATCTCTATTCGCAGTTTCAAGTAAGAAACAGAATCTGGTTTACTGTAGCAGTCCCATTAGAACTGGATGTACCCAATCCCATATGAGAGTTTCTGACATAAGGTTTCACTCTTGGGAAGATCCTTTGTATCAAAATGTATTCAGAATCTGACCTTTCCAAGTGATAAGTATAATATGGCCTGTTAATAGCTATTCATTATGTGGCCCCTAAGGATTTATTTGCTGCACAACGTGGAGCTAAGTTTGCAAAGCTATTTCTGGTGGACGTCTTTACATTTACTGCGTCAGTCATACTGACACTCTTTACTCACACACATATCCAGCACCAATCTAATAATCTGGTCTATTTATGATAGAATGCATTTGCTGACACTGTCGCTGCCAAAAGGCTGCTTCGCTGCTCGTGTTACAGCCACCGTTGCTGCTGCTCGTCATTCCAACATGTCATCAGCTCCACATGAAGCTTATCATAATTGCCCCCCCCCCCACACACACACACACACACTCCCTTGGGGGAAATTACAATTCCCAGTTCTCTCATAGTGATAACCTGTAAAGTGTTGCTCACTGATGAGTTGGAAGGTCAGAACTTTGATGGCAAATGCCAATGCGGTTTATATAGTCTGTAAAGACATCATATCATATTTACATGGATTTATCCCCTCACTTAATACATTGGAACCAGGGGCGGACTGGGACAATAATTCAGACTTTTGATATTTGATACCATCCCAGGCCACCACCACCCGATTAACGCAAAACACCAAGAGTGAGTTAGGTTGGCGCCTACTGATGTAAGAGTGTAAAATAATAAAGCAAAGGCTCCACATGCACCCACACACAGCTTTTTCTGTTTCTTTCCCCTATAAAATAAATGTTTCTTTACTGCTGCAATAACCTGTACTCAAATCACATAAACTGAAATTATGTTCACTTGCATTATGCAGGTGAACATAATTTCTATTCTATTTAATTTACTACTACACTTTTAAAGTGCAGGCTGCACATTTAACAGTGTAGTAGTAGATGAAATAAAATAGGTTACACTATCATCCACCTAAACTTGAGACCAATCCTATTTTTAATGTAACATTTGTTTTATTAAGTCATTTTTAGCCCCATCAGCTTCCACAAAGTGGAACTAACCTCCTCATTAAGCTGGTCGTACTGGATAGGCTATGGTTGTGTGTCTGTTGTCACCACTAGTGTTTAATGTCTTACCTGCTCCCATACTGACAAACATGTCAGTTATTTTACAGCACTTCGCTGCATTTGTGGCCAGTGCTTTTAGCTTTTTAAGCCTCTCCCTCTCTGCTCCACCTTTCCTCTTGGGCTGTCGATCTCGCTCCATTTTTCAAGCATGTAGGACTACATGGCCAGTCCGCCACTGATTGGAACCAGTATGACAGTTTCACAGGGGATTTGATTTCTTGGTTGAACAGTACAGTCTGTGTGTGTGTGTGTGTGTGTGTGTGTGTGTGTGTGTGTGTGTGTGTGTGTGTGTGTGTGTGTGTGTGTGGCGTGCCAGGATAAACAAGATTTCCACAGCACCGGGGCAATCAGGAGCAAATGGTTTGTTAGATCTCCTCACTGCCATGGAGGGACTCACACGAATGGAAGAGATAGAGTGAGTTCTTCTCCACTGTATAAAATATAAAGTACACATGGCTGCATATAAAACAAATGTAATAAACCTTATTTTAGTCCGTCATAAAAGAAACATTGCCATCGGTGATGCTGGATCATCTGTTGCTCCTTGTGTCGTTTCAGGCTGGAGGGCTGGAGGATGGCTGATAGAGGAATAGAGCAGCTGACCAGAGTCCTTCCTGTCTGGACGGAGCTCAGGAAGGTCAGGTAGGAAGGAAGGCCCTGTTGGCAACAAAAAGGGTAGATGAACGCTTTGATAGGGTGTAAAGTGACATTCACTCAAAACATGCTGACCATTTTGTTGGAGTGTCATCACCTTCTTTATGTGATCAGCTGTTTCCATTTGGTAGCTGGTTCTTACTTTCCAAGTGAGGGACTGACAGCCACAAAGCCTGATGGGCTTCATTAGCTAAAACTGTGGTTGTAATTATTTATTAATTACATGCTGTATTACATATCTTGTACAGTGTCCTGTGGCTGCAAATTGCTTCCTGGCTCCTAATCAAGTCACTATGGAGAGAATTTCTGAACATTACTGACTTTAGCTCCACCCAGTGGTAGTATCAGAAAACACACTGTGGCAGACAGCAATGGATGCTGCCTGAGACAAAACAGAAACATCTTATTTTACATTTAATGTCTGTGTTTGTGTGTGTGTCTTCCAGTCTCCCCAAGAACCTTATAGGCGATGAATCAGGAGACAAGCTACTGGAGGCTTTGAACAGCTGTAGTCACCTAGAAGAGCTCCAGTAAGGACATGATGACATTCCTTATATGTAGTTCATTCCTTTAGAGGCTGTTTTGGAAAATCAATGGAACACCTTGTAAGAGAGGTGACATGTAAAATTCTGTCACATATTCATTTACATTTGCTCTGCTTGTACGCATGGCTAAAGAAGCTATATTATGTATAAGGGAAGAAAAAAAGGGGACTGGAGCTCACTGATTGATTTGTAATGCATAAATAATCAGCCTCGAGCATAGGTGCAATTGTCAATTGGATAATTGGTAGAAGAGGATATCAAATCTATGGAATGATGAATCCAAGGTGGGAGTTGCCATGCATCATAACATCAGAAACAAAAGATAGAAGTGCAAAACATACAATTATAAGTTAGAGGAGATGGTGGTGACATTTTTATCAGCTCAGTGTTTCCCCTGATCACCTTCAAACATTCTCTCAAAATCTGACACCTCATTTACACCTGGTATTAAACTGCAATCTGTATCCGGTGATCTAGCCTTCAGGTTTACATCTGGTATTTTTTGATGCATTCTCTTTATCCTCATTGAGATTGGCTCGCTGTCCCCCAGAGCAAAACTTGCACGTGAGCAATTAGATTGGTGGCAGATCAGCCCCATGCTCCCTTAAAAAAACTCTTGTGAATCAGAGGAAACTGTCTGGAACAAATTCTTAATTAAAAATGATATCCATTGTTAACAGCAGATCAGCACAGATGAGTGAAACACACATTTATTTCTTATTGTATGTCGTTAGGTTTTCCCACTACACAAGTGCCATCTCTTGCAGCTACATCTATGGCTGGTAGTACCATCACTAAACATATATCTTTTTTTTCATTCTAAATTTTTTTTTTTTTTTTTTTTTTACCTTAAGGTTTTTCCATTTTGCCCTCTGTGCAAAAGTTTTTAACAGTGGCAGACAGTTTGACATCATTAAATTAAAATAAATATGAAATTTTTTTTTTGTTTTTTTTTTTTAAATTTTTTTTTTTTTGGGCCAAAAGCAATATAGCACCAGATTCAACTGCACACTGCTAGTGTTCCATATAATCTTAAAATTTTGTCTTATTTGTTATTGTATTATTTCTCTCGTGTGTACTGTGGTTAAAGAGAAGAAAGTATTTTCTCCTGCATCAGTACAGAATTAAAACATGTGTTTGTGTGGTCCTCCAGTATGGCCACTAACAGTCTGGGTGATCTCACTGCTGCAAGAATGGCTCTTGTTCTACCATCACTGACACGCATCTCTGTGTTGGAGTAAGTCACACACACATTAAAAATCTCTGACTGACATTTTTTACATTTGTCAATCTTGCGGTTAGGTTTCTGTTTTTTATGCACATGTGTCTTTTTCTAGTATTTCAGATAATAGTATTGGATATGAAGGGTCAGTGAGTCTGTCCAGAGCAATAATGTGCATGAAGAACCTCACCAAGATTCAGTAAGACTCTGAAGCTCCTCTTACTGTTTTAGGAATCTCCAAACCCTGATAGATAACTAAATTTACTGATTATTAGTTTCATGATAAATAATGTCTTTCTGTTTCCTGTTTGGTCCGTCAGTCTGACCTCTGTTGGGACTCCAGAGCTGTGTGCTGTAGCTGCTAGTCTCACCCACTGTCCGCTCATACAGGATGTGGGGTAAGGTTCAGCTGATTATATAATACATTGTCAGTACAAATGATTAAAACAAACATTATTCGCCAGGGGCAGCAAAGTAAATTAGCCAATATGGGACATTAACATGATTGATTCTGATTTCTGATGCACGGTTTGTCAGCGCTGATCTAAATGTTATACATATGTGTCTGTCTCTGTCTCCAGTCTGGGGTGGAATAACTGTGAGGATAAAGTGGCAGTGGAGTTGGCCAAAGTTATCCCTTTCTGTCAGAAGCTGACCAGAATAGAGTGAGTTTGTGAACACACACACACACACACACACACACACACACACACACACACACACACACACACACACACAGACACAATAATCTTTATTCATTTAGGCAGTGGTGGAAAGTAATGTAATACATTTAAGTTCTGACTAATATTAAATAATACTTACAGCACATTTTCCTAGTTAGATACTTTCACTTAGAGGACCAGTGTGTAGGATTTAATGGCATCTAGTAGTGAAGTTACACATTGTAACCATTTGAATACCACTCAGCCTTCCAGGTGTGTAGGAGAAACTGCCGGTCACAGAAAACATGAAAGACCATGTCCAGAGCCTTAGTTTGTCCATTCTGGACTACTCTGTAGATAGAGTCATTCTAAGCTAATGAAAACACACCTATTCTTATTTTCAGGTGATTATACTCTAATGAAAACATGTGTTACACACTGGACCTTTAAGTAGCATTTTTACTTCTACCGGTTTTTACAGTGTATATTTTAAGTCTGTTTTTACAGTGTGGTATTAGTACAACACAGCATGTCTGAATATGTTTCTTTCTCCCAGTCTGGAATCAAACAATGTGAGTGGGGTTGGAGCTGAGGCCCTGGTTAGAGCCTTAAAGTCGTGTCCTGCTCTGCAGCTCATCAGGTAAAGTGTTTGGCTCCTTCAGGCACCTGTAGATTTAGTTTCTCACCTATACTGTCTTCTGATAGCACACTGAATACTGTCACTTTGCTAGTTCATCATGTCTTGTTAATTTGGATTTTTAAAATGTGTTTAAACATTGAGAATATTACATTTGCCTCCACTGTGATTTCAGGCTGTGGAGGAACAAAGTCCCACCTAGTGAAGCCCACAGGCTCAGTCTGAGAGACAGGAGGCTGAATTTCTCTCCTACCTAATGTGGATGCATTGTTGGACGGTGGCAGTGCGAAGCAATATTCCAGTTCATGGGAATCTGCAGAGATGAATGACTGCTTCAGTGGAGTTAAAATGTGTTTTCCCTGCAGTAAGCCCATCAGAAATGCATGACAGCAAAAGAGGTCCATATAAAATGTTTTGCTTAAAAACCCAATCAGTTGTGTATCCAATGACTGCAGCAGCTGGTGTCTAGTATGAAGGGTTAGAAGACCACTCTGTGGTCCACTATGTGGTCCACTATGAGGGAGGACTCCTTCAGATGTACATTGTTTGAATATGTAGAAGTTAGTATAGAGTTCTCATCCCCTTTTGTATTCCCCTAAAATATTTAGATTTTTTTAATCTCAAGAGCTGCTTGAGGAAGTGATTGAGTACTTGAGTATTTAAGTACATATGAATGTTAAGGTATTATATTTTGGAAAGCAAACATCTGTTTTTATGCTTATATAAATTAATGACTATGCACTGACTGACCTCTAGTGTCGCGATGGTGAACTGGCGTATTGAGTGCAGCGGTGTTGCTGCACTCTTCACGGTGACACAGTATCCCTTTTTCCATGGTCTATGATTGGTATGGCGATCCTGACGTAGGTGTATTAACACCCTAATCTTAACTTACGTGTCACCAACTGTGACAGACAGCTGGCTGACAGGACACACAGACGGCCATCCTTATATGGCTGCCTTTATACTAATCTAATTATATGACAAAAATGTCATAAAGTCGCTGCTCAGTAACTGCAGTACAGCCGTGTTCCTATATGGTGAATTCAAACTGAGATAAAGTTGGAGTTGCTGTGGGAATATTCAAAAATTATCAAAATAAGCATCAAGAATGATTTTACAGCATTCTTAATCAATAGAATAAATTTATGATTCAGAAATTAACATAACATACATAAAGTTCCCATGTATGCACCAGAAATAGATTTGGCGGAATAACCACTGAAGAAACAAAACACTAATTTGAGGTTGTCTGAGACACACTTCTTTATTTTTCTATTTTCTATGTGTGTTTCTGTTGGCAGCTGTACGTAGGTCGTTCCAAACTGTACATACTGTTCAGTAACACGAACATTGATATCTTATAATGATATAGAGGGACAACCCACAGAGCACATTCTTCAGGATCAGCTGCACCTGTTCAGTCGCGTCACTGCTGTCTCCACTCAGTCCGCCACCCTTCAGCGCCATTGACCTAGAGGCCATGTTGTGAAGGATTCCTTGGTTTCCAACAAGGTTTCCTGAAGATGAGTTGCTGTGTGTATGCAGACTTGGACACTCTGTCACTTTACACTGTAGACTGTAGCACTGTCTTTAGTAGAGGCCACATATGCGAAAACACAATAAATCATGAACTCACAGTGAATGAAGAGTTCAGAGGGAGAAGCCCCCCCCCTCCTCTCTGACATTTGCTCTTATGCTCAGTTTAGGTTGTGGTCTCTATCCAATATGCGTATTTATTTCTGCTGTTTCTTTTTTTTATTTTTTTAGTTCTGTATTTATCTGTTATTCAAAAGTTTGAAGTTTCTATATGACTAAATTATAGGTGATAATAATTAATTAGATAGAACAAGACATAATTGTGTATGTGTCATGGCAGAAATGGGGAATCGCTACAATGAGACAATTACAGATCAGTCTCACCACTGTCGTCTTTAGTTTCTGTTGTGCTGATAATGTTTAAATTAGGTACTCATTCAGAAATGGGGACCTTGTTTTTTCTCTCGTTCTTTTATGTTTTATTGTTTTTTAAGTTTTCTAGTTCATTCAGTTTCATTTTAATTTCTACAGACACTGGATTTTATTTAACACAGAGATATTCTGCGCTATCTGCTTCAAGTGGTTTAGCTTTTTAATGTTTGTATCCAGGTTGAAGTGTCAGTTCTCACATGACAAACTGCTTTTATCATTAACATTCATTCATTCTGAAATGCACTGACATGTCTATTGACAATAAAAATAAATAAAATAATGAAAGACTATCTTGAGTTTTGACCTTTATTTGCACTTCAGTTCACTTTTTCTTACTTACTTTCTTTCTTCCTTTCAACAACAGTGTAGACATGCACAACATTTCCTGATAAAATAAAACAGGCATTTGTTTGCCTCTGATAGTATATTGAATAGTATTTTTATAATTTATAATTTTTCAGAAGCCGTTTAAGGTACAGTATTTTACACATGTAGCAATGTTTGTTTTGCACACCACCATGTTTACATAACTAAGAGTCGATTAAGAGTTGGTTACATATTTAGGGAACGAGCACTGACCAGTGCAAGGCCCTATTGTTCCTGAAGGAATTCTTACTATTTTCTGGCCCTTCGACCGCATATTTGGCGGTCGCAACACGTAGAAAACACATTAACAACACATTAATGACGCGTGAAAAATGTACACATTGTTAACGTGTTGTCTATGCGTTAATGACGTGTTAACGACGTGTTAATGACGCGTTAATTTCACATGATTATGAGCCCTTTGGCCACTTGTCCAGTTTGAACCCTGAGCAGTTGGGTTAAACCATTTCTGTAAGCCTGGGGGGGGGGTTCCACCCACTATTTAACATGATAAGGAACCTCTTATTTCTTTGCCATTTTCTTCCTTTATTGTGTAGCTTATAAAAATAAAACATTTGGGTTGCAGTTTTATGACTTTATTAGTTATTACTAACATTCAAGTTATTAAATTATAAATTATTTTTATCAGGATAAAATTGCCTCACTTTGCTCCACTATAGTGGGCATTCTAGCTTTAACACCATTCATCAAACTTTAATTTAATATCATTAAAAACATTAACAATCTTTTATGGAAATAGTAACTGCAATGGTACTCACTCAATACTGTAATGAATATCTGTATTTGGAAAAAATGGAACTTTCCTCTTTGAGCATTTTAATTTAATATATGACCAGCAGGGGGCATACCATACTATACTCTTAGTCCTGATGAAATAGTAAAATACAGGTTGATAAGAATTTGATAATAACATTTTAATTTGCATCTTGCTCTACATCAAAACACCCAGACCATCAAGACCATAATGAGAAAGGTGTTTTTATTTCGTACCATTAGTATATAGTAAAAATTTTCAAAATCCCAATCACTCATCAACTTTACAATATAATCCAAAAAACACCATTAGAATAAAAAAACAGAGTTCAATCAGCAAAAATGCATCATTATACCCTTCATAAACATAACTTTTATTGCAGGGCTATAGGTGTTCATGTTGTTAGGCCGAGACTCTGTAAATGCCAAGTGTGAAAGTAACACGACAGCATTCCCATACGCCACACAGGGCTACGGAATTTTATAACATTCACAACCATAAAAACACTATCAGTCATATTTCTTGCAGCTTCTATGGCTACTACTCGTATCTTTCGATCATATTCACCACCAGAATAACTATTATTCATATTTATATCACCTTTACTGCCATTGTTTCTACTATTCATATCACTCTGGTATATTATCTGCCATAACTTGTTAGTCATATTCATATTACTATAGGTATTATTACAGTTAATGTTAATTTTGTGGTTTCTTGCATCCCTGGGACAGTCTGTCTGTATGTCTGTCTTTGTGTCTCTTTCTCTCCCCCCCCCCAACCGGTCAAGACAGATGACCGTCCTCCATAGAGCTGGGTCTGTTTGCCACTGTGTGCACAAGATTGCTGGATAAATACTGTGTATAAATACTATTATTGCTATTAGGGATGCACCGATCCACATTTTTTCACTTCCGATCCGATCCCGATACCTGAATTTGGATATCGGCCAATACCGATACTATTCCGATACCAGAGCTGTGTTTGCTTTAATATTATTATTATCATTATTGTTGATTTTATATGAGGCTGAAATAAACTCCTCTCAACAGGCAAGTATGATATGTACGTATGTATGCATGTATGTCCCAAAAGGCAACTTGAGGTAAGAATAAGATCAGAAAAGGAAGTCAGAAAAACAGGAAATCCTGTTAACAGGAAAAATCCCATCCTGAAAACAAATATGCAACTGTAAGGGTTTCAAATTGATTGTCATGTCAATATTTATTAAATTCCCAAAATGTCAAATAATTGAGTCTTGAAATATAAGAAAAGTGTAAACGTGTGTGTGTGTAAACATCTTACACACACACCATCAATAAAACAGTGTGCATCTGAACAGCACAAATCAAGTACACTGGCTCTTGTAGTATCAATAAATCAAGGTTTTAAAATGTCAATTATCTGAAATATAAGAAAAGTGCAATAACTGTAAACATCTTACGCACGTACACTTGCACACACACGCACACACACACACACACACACACACACACACTCGGTAATCCCTTTAGCTTTAACGTCGTCTGCCTGGAGTTTACCTTGTTTTTGGAAAGACTCTAGAAGTGATTCCTGACAGCTCGCCTAAAAAATCCTCGTGCTGTTTCGTGTGGTGCTTTTTTAAATGTTTGATTGCGTTCTGCGCAGGTTGGATCGGGAAATTCCGATACGTGAATTGCACTGGTATCGGTCCCGATACCGATACTGGATCGGATCGGCCCCATCCCTAATTGCTATTATTAAAGATCATGGGGGAATTGTTGGGTCTCTGTAAATCATGAATAAGTCTATATATATGAAATGAGTGTGGTCTAGACCTACTCTATATGGAAAGTGTCTTGAGATACCTTTTGTTATGATTTGGCACTATACGTAAAATTTAATTGAAAATTTAATTGAATTGAATTCTGCTAATTAAGTAAAGAGAGCATAGTATATTATATAAAGGCTGCCATTTCCCCATATTAGTGTTTTGAAGCAGTGCATTTCGGGAAAGATGGAGTTTGCTTTAGAGGTAGAAGTAGATAAGACATGGGCTTGATCATCAACAATCTGGTGCATCTGTACAAGTGTCTTTATGCATGGTTGAGGAGAAAGGCATTTTGATAAATCAAAGAAAAATACAAAGAAATATCAGACTGAGATGATTATGACTGCAACAGAGATGGCACTTCTCGTCTTCTCAGTGTGTTGTTGAATGTAGGCGAGTAGAACCAAGAGATGAGACATGTGGGTGTCTCAGAAGGACCATCTCTCCTGTGTTTTTTTTTTACCAGATGTATTATTATTACTATTATTATTATTGTAATATCATTCATTCGTTGTTTCATTGTTTCATTCATTCATTCATTCATTCATAATATTCATTCATTTAAAATATTCAACTGTCTGTCATTTGTTTCCTGTCGTGGAGTCTTGAGCAGTTTGCAGTGGAATCACATCAGTCCCAGCCTTTTCATACCATTTTAAGTCTGTCACATTGCTAAACCAGAATAAAAACGGTCAGAAAAGCAGCCATAAAATTAATTCTGGTTGATATTAAGTGTATAATAGGCTACTCAGTAACAATCCAGGTTACTTGTTGGTGTGATCATTGTGGAGCATCTGTAATGCACAGTTGAAAACATTCATGTCCCTTATTTTCTGCATGACTATTTCCAGGCAGACATTAAGTGTGTGGTTCTAGAAAGAAACATTAATACAAAAAAATGTGTATCTTGTGTTTACTTAAATGTTATAATGTGTTTTAAACAATGGAGTGTACACCCGGTTGAAAATAGCCTTTGCCCGCGATCTGGCTATTTACACTTGACCCCTCATCCATTCTAATCCTGAAGGTCTTTAGAATTGTATACATTTCATTAAAATGGGTAAATGACACCTGTGTACCTAATTATTTCTGATGAGTGCCTAATTAAAATAGGTTTTAACAAGCCCCATTATTAGTGACAATGTGCCTCCTGCTGTTTATAGCCCTAAATTATTTGCTCAAAAAAGGTTGTTTTCCATTCGTTACAATGGTCTGTATCCTAAACCAGCATTGGGCGATATTAAAATATATTAATGTGGTTCAACAGTTTTAATTGCACCCTGACTCAAGATCATGCAGATGTGGCACAGAGTGATATGCGTTGCGAGTTATATGCATTTGTTCAGCTGTTATTCTTTATACAATATAGTATATTTCCAGATACAACAGTAGGCCTATCTATATCTACGTGTATTTACTGATTATTCTATATATACTGTTCAAATAAATGTTCTTGCTTATATTAGTGACGTAACCTTAAGTGTTTTTGTAGGCTACTTTTTTTATCATTGTTTTTGTAGGCTACTGTTAATGACGGCGCTATAGTGGAAACCGTCATTTAAGCTAGCGTAACTCCGCAAGGACCTACACATTTATTTTTCTAAATATTATATCACAACTTGTGACAATACATTTGTTAAGGTCCTTAGGGTAATGGCTGTTGATGGTTAGCGTTGATTTTATTTACTTGTGCCGAATTGTCATTTTATGGGTGTTTATTGATCCGGCTGTTGAGCTAATATGCTACCGTCAGCGTTCACTTGTTGTCATAGCAACAATAAACATCATGTGTTAGCGGAAACAGGCAACGTTGAGTGTGATACATTATAGTACACGTGTTTATTTTGATGTAGGTCTACGAGGATTTGTTATTTCTAATATTGTATGTGTACATATAGCCTATATTTATATAATTGTATTTTATTGAGATTTCGATATATATGAAAAAGAGAATGAAAACATATTTCTATTATTTTATATTATATTTTGTAGTATAGCATACATAAATACATATTGTGTTTTATTGTGATTCTGATATGAAATATATTATTATATTATTTGATCTAATATAATTTTGAGATTGTATTTTGTATTATTTATTTATATTGTTCCAATATATATTTACATTGTTATATTGTTGGCCGTTGATATTGAGTAGCCTGAGTAAAACTGCCACTGAAGACCAACAAACTGATAAATCTTTGTCATTTATTCTTGCAGAATCTTTTGGCACAGTGGTGTATACAGTACAGTCTCTGTATTTATCATATTCAGAGGAATTCATATGTCCAATCAAGATATTTTACATATTCTTAATTTATTATTATGTTGTTGAGCTATATTTTTGATAAGTATTATTTGCACACTGGTCTTATTTGTATGAATATGTACTTTTGCCGATTGTCTGCTTGTTCGTAATCTAAAATAAATATTTCTAAATTGAAAAAAACAAAACAAGAAACAGGCTTGACTTAAGAGCAAGAAGTGCAAGTCAGTTGCAGGCTGCATATTTGCTTATTAAACTGCAGCCAATCACAACGCTGCTTCCCCTCCCCCACTCATTTGCGGCCACGTGGGGTCTGGAAAAACAATAGATGCGAGCGGGATACAAGGACACAAGGAACAAAAGTCATGGCTCTTTCAACTTTTCTAGATCATTGTAAAGCTACATATGCAGAAAGTTCCAGACTTTTACTCACGGATAATGTTTCCAGTGATGTCCTGCGACCAGTACTTATAAGGTAATACTATTTTGCGTTTGACTCCAAATGAATAAATTCATGCTATTAGCAAGCTAAGAAAGATTGTTTGGCCTGGTATTGTAGCAAATTCTAAATATTCTCCATGCGGCTGAGCACATATTTAATGGTAAAAAAGTCATTAATCACGAATTACATTTGTACATGTTTGAAATAACGCTACAGCTGGCAGCTATAGGATAAGCAGTTGTGCAAACTCGGCTGTTACACCTGGAATTGTAGCAGGCTGAAGTTAGCATTGGGGATGAATTGAATTTACTGTCTTTTGAGGATTTTCACAAACACTGACTTTAAACGTACACTTATTGAATTTGTTATTTAGTTATTATACCGGGAGGTGGTATTCTATTACTTGGTAGATACTATAGACTCCATTATTATTAATCAAATGGCTACAATATGTGGCATATTAAGCCTGTTGAAGCTCATTAAACAGCGTATTTCTTTAATTCAATTCATGTAAGAGGGAGTTTAAAAGTTTACTATATGTTTTGTATTTGGTTATAGAAAGAGAGTCTATTATTTTTGGTTAAAAATGCAGAGTACAGTGTTTAGATTGCCAGTATAATTTTGAAGGTGTAGTAACCATAAATTGCCAGTAGGTGTCAGACGCACTACAGATGCAGCATAGGTGCTGGAGAGTCACAGGGGGCAACTCTCGCGTGATTACATCAGACAATGAGAATCCCTGTGTATGAGACCACAATCGAAGAATGCTGTGTAGAAATTGTCAATATAAGTCCTATTCTTGCATTTTGCAGAAAACCAACATTAAATTTGTAGCAACAGACTGAGCCAGTGTGTAATCATTCTGCACCCTGCTACAATTACAGGAAATCCCACGAAATTGACTGCCGGCAAAATTATTCCCTAACTTGGCCAACCCCCTTTATTAAAAAGATATGTCATGTTCCTACGTGATTTATCATACGGTTGCGCTTTTTAGACGATGTTACCTTACTGATAATGTTTTTAAATAAGGATTTGCAGCGCATCTGAAGAGGTGAGTTTTTGTGGCTGGTCAGTAGCCTAACTTTGATGGTGATATTGTTGCGTTTGAGTACAGGGAGGCGGCCGGTCCGAACTGATCGCTTGCATGTATTTTCCTCCATGTCATTAGTCAACAGGTCATGAACACAAAACTTGTTTTGGACAAAATTGTGTGAAATTGACATGACAAGTACAACTGGCTTGTATAAAGTTAGTAATGGCAGTGGCAGTTCTGGTAGTAATAATAGAGGGAGAAACGGCAGCAAGTTTTGGTGCTATCCATTTGTCTTGTAAACCCTCAGCCCGAGTTGGAAAGTGTAAATCTCGCAGCTATCTCGAGACATTTCACCGAGACACACCCCCTTTTGGTCGTAATTTCAGCCGTCCAGCTCGGGGTACCTCACAGTTCACCGAGCTAAACGAGGACGAACGTACGACCCGCAAAACAAAGATGGCAGCGCCCATATTGAGATGAATTTTCTTTGTATTTGTACTACGTTGATCGTTTTAATGCCGATTTTAAATGCTCTTACACACTTGTTTACATTGCATCTTTAGTCCGGTCACCAATTTATGCATTGCAAGGTGTTGTTGTGCGTGCAATACAATGTAAAGATTTGTTTTCGAGTTGGTTTGCTAAATAGGCTAATGTAGCTAACAATAACAATAGCCTGCCACTGCCCCTGGTAGCTCGAGAAAAACGCCACAGCACTTGTTGAAATTGAAATATGCGAAAATGGCAAAATATTATTGAAATGTAAGACTTGCAATAACGGAATTACTTGAAATAAAGGCTGGGCGATAAATCAATTTTATCAATTAATACGAATTTGTAGTTAAACACGATTTATTTTTAGTTAAAGTTCTCTTGAACTTTCACAACACCGGCGCTCCCTTTGGGCTCCCGTAGGTCAGAGTGCGGTGCAGAATAAGGTAAAGGATAAGGAATAGATGTAGAATAGCCTAATTAGTAACGAGAAGGTGAGCTAAAGAACTATGCAAGATTAATGGAGACTGGGCCCTCAACTCCTTAACGGTAAGACATGTGTAAATTAGACACTGCGTGAAAGTAGGCTTTAAGGAATAGTCGAATTGGATTAAAGAAAAAAGAGAGTGACAAACCTGGGCCCAGGGAAATTTGGCTTGAATAAAATAAGGAAATAAGGAATAGGGAAAAGGATTAGGACGCCGCTGATTTGGACAAAAGCCCTCATGGAGGCGATTTTAGATGGGCCGCAAATCCTGGAAAGTCACTAGGTAGATTTCAGGTCAGTTCAAGGAACTGGAAGGTGTAGAATAAAAATTCAATTGTAAGTTCCCACTCAATACATTTGTTGACGAACAGTGTCTGAAGCAGCCTCTCATTGAATATCTACACCTCAAGGTAGCAAAAATTTTTAAAAAAAGGAAAAAAGGAGCGGCGGAAGCATGCTTTAGGAATAGTATGAATGAATTGATTTAGAGGATTTAGAGTTGAATGCTGTTTGTATTTTTGGGATGGTGTTGAATTTGCTGTGTGTTTTGTGACTTTGCTATGCATTTTTGCTGCTGGATAACTAGTTTGAGCTGCAAGGAGGAGGGGTAGATAGAAGCCCAATAAAATATTCTGTTTGTTAGTGGCTGTTGCTTGATTATAAAACTATTTGATTGAGATCCATTACATTTATAAATGAAAATTATGTTGACAGATAAAAAAAAAAAAAAGAAAATGTTATGATTTAAATAAAGGAAATTCAACTTCCAGATAGTGGAGGTTTAGTGAAGGATTTATAAGACTAAGAAGGAAGACCTAACAGCATGCCATAGATACATAGCTGTGGGTGGACAGAGGTGCTAGTCAGCATTCCATAGGCTTGTGGAGAAACCATGAGAGATTGAAAATAGCACCCCCAGATCTGTTAGGTCTGATGATTCAGGAAGCACATGGGTTAGCTCATGTTGCAAGGGGGGAGTTTTAAAAGGAAAATCGCAAAAGAGTATGGCTTTGGGCATCCTATTTGCTTGAGCAAATTGATTACGTCATAGTAAGATGTACAATCTGTAGAATAATGTCAGGAGGGGTGTAATGACACTTCTGGAAATTGTTCTGTCAGAGGTTCTGGAAGAAATGTGATGTTCTTCCAAGAGAACCTAGAGGTTCAAGTAGACCAAGAAGTCCAAGACCAGTCTGAAAGAAGATCAGATCCAAGCGATTTGGAGACTATAGTTAGAGCAAAGTTAGGAGAGTGGGTTCTGCTTCCAGGTCAAAGTACTAGGTGGAATAATGGGGATAGTAGTCATCCTGTGTGGAAAGACAATCAGGGTAGAAAATAGCCACAAAAGGACTTGAGGTAGATGATGTGTCTTTTGATCAGAGGAGGTATTTTTTATTTAATGAAAGAAAGTGGATAAATGTTCTAGAAGACTGTTCACTTTTTATGCATAATGTTAGCCAAGAAGATTTAGGGGAATATATATGAAGTTATTTTGATTCATTTTTTCAGTACATGCCAGAGCACAATTACTGTATGGAAGGGCATGTAACACGCAAAATAACATTTGTGGCGACAGATTTGAATGATGTGCAAATACAGGCGGCTGCTCAAGAGCGAATCGCCATAGCAACAACCCCTCGAGTGGAGATTGAAAAGATAGCATCCACTATTCTAGTTTAGGGAGTGACTGATAGCGTGAGTGCATCAACTTCTGCTATGACTTCAGCTGGTTTAAAATCTATAATGACCATATGGATAATTTCTAAATTTACAACTGCTAGGAATCCTATAAATGAGGCTGTGGAGGAAAGATGGACAGTGCGAGATAACATGGAAAGAGTCACTGATAGAACAATGATAACATCTGAGGTATTTAGAGAAACTATAGATATAATCCAGAATTTAGCTACGATATCTCTGTAGCCCATAGAATTTGCAAATGTAATTGAAATCCATTATAGAAATAGAGAACATAGGAATAAGACATTTGAGAATACTATGATCTCATCTACTGAAGAACCACTAAGTGTGAGGACTACCAAGGATTCATTTACTAAGACTCAGACTGATAGCATGACCACTGACCATGATACTTTTGATAACACAGTTGGACACAAACTGAGAGGACCCGGAAACTTGCATGCATTACGAAAGAGAGATGCTAGATGGAAGGCATATAGATTTGATGCTTCAGTGCTACAGATTACAGGCCGATGGGCAAGCAGAAATATGTGGTTCCAACAGTTAACTCATTCTGTAAGATCGGCTACTCATGGGAGGTGCCCGTGTATGGTTAGGATTCCATCACCTAGAACAGGGCCGTCAAGTCTAGAGACAATACCTGAACAATTATTTGCCAAATGCCAATGTACTGCTTTATTATGGTATCAAGTATCAGCAAGAATCAGCGCTGGACACTTGGATGGCTGTATCAGTGCATTTGTATAAACCTAAAAGAGAGTACGCTTGGATAATGGATCTGCCAAATATAGACTTAACTGATCAAAGAGAAAAGATTATGGCAGTCCCTGGTTCAGTGGAAGTAAAAAATGTACAAGCAGAAGCTTGCTTTTGTCTGGAAACAGGGTGAAAAGGGAAATGGCACAATTTCACAACTTGGAGTCCTACCATTGGAGGATAAGTCTAGGAGAGAAGTGGGGTATAGGATTATTCCCATGGTATGGTGTGACATTTTTGGCAGATCACATTGATAACATTACCTACACTTTGCAGGGTTTTGCGAATTAAACTATACGAGGGTTTGAATATTTGTCAAATACTCAAAGGAGTCACAGACTGACCTTGCTGAAGCATGACATGGCTCTTGACTATATTTTAGCCAAACAAGGTGGCCTATGTGTGGCTTTGAACTTGACCAGGGATGCTTGTTATACTTTGATTCCCGATAGTTCTGATAATATCACTAGTGTTATAGATGCATTGAGGAATATAAGGGATGCGTTTGGTCAGTCGGAAGGAGCTGGATGGTCTGCAAATGCTTGGTTGCAGGATAAATTAGGACCATTTGGAGCAGTGTTGGTTCAGATTTTATTAGCGGTTCTTTTATCACTGTGTGTGATGTTTTGTTTCTGTACACTGCTGTTGACTTTTGCGAAGGCTATGATATTGAGATGGGTTGGAGTTGTGATGCCTGGAGATCACACTCAGATGCCTTTGTTAAATATGACTGATGTAGACGGAAATGAAGAAGTAATGCTAGAAGGTGAATTGATGAAATATCCATTTTGAATATCTAATTGTGTTATAATCTTCACATTTATTTTGCTATTGTTTTGGTATTTAGTGGTTTCTTATTAACCAAAGGGGGGAAATGGAATGTGATTCATAATTTTATATTAATTTGTATTTGATGTTTTAATTTTCATGTTTTGTTTTTGCAAAAGATACTGGTTGGTGTTTTCTTTTCTTCCAGAGCATATTGGGGGAATGTGCAGAAGGGATTCAGATACTCAAATATGGACAATAAGAATGGACTGGAGAACTCTGAACAAGGACACTGTGATAAAATGTTCAGATTCGACACATCATCGACACTACACTAAGTCGACACTGCTGAGGAGCTGCAGTGTGATACATTCTTATGTCTTCTCTGATATATACATATATTTGCTTAAACCATATATCTAAATAAATTGTTAAGATTCTTCTTTTTAATTGATCTGGAGTACTATGTGTGGTCGCCTGAGGCAGAGGGGCCGTGAGAGAATTTTCCTGTCTAGATTGTTTGATGGATACTTCTGGAAAGAAAGCTGCCAGACAGGTTTTTCGCTCTCGCACTCCATAAAGTTGCTGTATTGTTAAGGTTATGTTGCAAGAAGCATGTGTAGGAGGAATTGTTATTTTGGTCATAATTTTAAACATGTATGTTTTACTCTTTTGTTTTTCGAGACTCTGCGTAGTCTCGAAGGGGGGAAATATGTGGTATCCGAAGGCCTATAAATTTAAGTTACAGTTTGTCATAAGTTCAAGTGATATTTTTGTCAACATATGCAGTGTTAGTAAGACATGAGGTTCAACGTCGTAATTCTTACTACGAAATGTTTAGGCTAGGGGCCTCTCAATGGCCTCTGACCTTTATCTTAATAAATCCCCCATCTCCCTGTTTTACCTCACATATCTGTGCTAGAACCAGATGTTTCTTTACTATTTTCTTGAATAAACAATAGACCTATATAAAGCCTATGTTCGACGCATATAGACAGAGTTGTTCATTTGGCAGGATGCTCTCCAAGCTCCCGGGGCTTGAAATGATGCTGTACCTTTTTGTAATAAACCTTTATATACAATCAAGATGGTGTCAGCGGACTTCTCTTCAATACATCTTCACATCATCACTACTTAATATACCACACCATTTTAGTGTTATTACATGATAATCCATCAATTTAGTGATGGATTCTAAAAACAGAAATGTTGCTTTTAATTGTTTTTCATTTAATGCTGTGCTGTATTATACCTCTTTGTACAGGGACATTTTTATGACCAAAAACGTTTAGTGCTGTTCAGAAGGTACTTGGGGGGTACATTAATGAAAAAAGACACACTTACTTCTTAAGTCTTTGGGGATTGACTTGCAGGACTCAGCACTGTTCTTCAAGTAGCACAGTTTCTCTTTGACAGTCTTCATGTTAATTGTGTCTGACATTTGCATCTTGTCTACATCTGTACTCAATTTACCCCACCTAACAGACACACTCACACACACACACACACACACCTCTATTCATCTCTGATGTTCTATGTGTTGGACAGTTTTTGAGTCCAGTGTTAGTTGTTGAACCTTGTTGAAATGTGTCACTCCTTTTGGAAAGGAATTATTATTTTATAATATACTCGTCACTTTCCTTTTAAAGAAGTCCTTTGATTAAACAATTCTGTTTTTAAAACTTTTCTGATTTTTAATTTGTCATTTTGTCTTCATTGAGATAGAATGATAATGAAAGAAAGAGAAGTGGTGTGTGCTCATCCTACAATTAACAATACATTTTTTGTCTTGGGTTAGGATTAAGTAACAAATAATTGTGTATAGGTCAGTGTTTTTATTGAGGCAAAAAAGTAACAAATTATCCAGTAATAATAGGTACTTGATTTGAATTGTCAGCATTACTACACTTATTCACTCAGAAAGTTAAGTAACAAAGTGACAGTAATCCGTTACTTTATAATTAGTTACCCCCAACACTGAAGTTCAAAAGGTTGCCACTACAGTTGCAGCTCAAAGTCGTGTTAGTATTAAAAAATATTGTGAAGGTATTAAAAAAGGTATTAAAAGGTATTAAATTCAACGCAAGAATTTCTGTATATACCCTGACAAATGGAACGCTATAAGTGGTACAAGCCAGGCAATTACGTTACATTCTCGTGGCAGAGCAACTCGGGCGAGACAAATGGATAGCACCATTAGTCCCAAAGATCCAGGGCTTTAAAACAATTTTGTTTATTGGTTTTAATCTGCACGTCACCTGCACCCACTGCAAGATCGCTAGCACCCAATCTCGGTCACTTTACAGCTGACACAAATCGGTGATAAATGTGCAAACCAGCCATGTAGAGATGTGAGGCACTTGTACAATCTAGAGGTGCTTGCAACGAGAGAGTTTGAGGTTATACTCAGTCATGCTCCAAGCAATCATCTTGGAAAGAGCTGTTAATGCTCAGACTGTGGTCATTAACCGCAACATGGATAACATCTTGGAGAAGTTTTGCGGCTTTGCAAAGGAGAATGAATCGATTTGAAGACCAGAATGGATAATCAGAGTAAGTCGTGTCCATTGAAATGTGACTTCTCGCCCTAACCCAAACAATCATAATCTAATCTGCATTCCGACCCGGTCCGTGTATGTTTTGGTCATTGGATTTTCCTTTCAGAAACGGGTATTAAAAAACAGAAAACGAGTGGTTATTTGATTTTCGTTTTAAAATACAAAAATTAAAATTGAAATACAAGGCGTTTTTCTTTTTCATGGTCAAAAAGGGACGAGCGAAATTAAAAAAAATATCCGATTTTCATTTTCTATTTCATATAACAAAAAATAAAATCACTAGAAAACAGAAACGGAAAAAAAGGCCTGTTTTTTCATATTCTGAGACCGGATGTTGTCATTTACAGGACGGTGCTGTGTAGAAGAAACAGTAGCTAGTAGACTGCGGTCAAGCCAGCCGTGAGTCCGATCCCCGTGGTCAAAACAGCCGCACTTAAATTTAGAGTGTACAAGTATTCTCAGCATTATGGTAAATGCGGAGAAACAGCGTATTTACTTCCGGTTTTCAAAATAAAGGTATTTAGAACAGTAAGCTATAATTAAAATATGTTACATTAAAGTGTTACATGCGCCCCTGATGAATAAAAAAACACTTTATATCAAGTATCTTTACTGCACCAGTGTGGAGAAATGCCAAAATAAAAGTCTCATATTTATGCCTCCAGAGATTGCATATTTGACCATATTTGAGGTACTGTAAAAACATATTGCTCAGTGTTTCCTGGCTACTGATGGTATATTTGACTTTTACACATATGAGACAACAAACATACTTAATATCAAGCATTTTTATTGTACCAATTTGGAGAAATTCAACAATAAAAGTCCATATTTGTACCTCCATGTGGCATATTTTCATATATTTGAGCTACTGTAAAAACACTTTGTTCAATAATTCCTGGCTATGGATGATATATTTGACTTCTACACATCTAAGACTACAAGTGTACTTAATATCAAGCATTTTTACTGTACCAATTTGGAGAAATTGAAGAATAAAAGTCCCATATTTATACTTCCAGATTCCATATTTTCTTATATTTTTGACCATGAAAAAGAAAAACGCCTTGTATTTCAATTTTAATTTTTGTATTTTAAAACGAAAATCAAATAACCACTCGTTTTCTGTTTTTTTATAACTGTTTCTGAAAGGAAAATCCAATGACCAAAACATTGGCCAAGGCCATTGGCCAAGGCCGCTGCTGGAACAACTCCTCCAGGAGATCGTTGCAGTGAGACACTCTGCCCTATTCCTCCCTCCCTTCCCACACGGACACCTGTTGATAGTTGACTCTGTTTAGGACCTGATCAGGGATGTCTCCATGGCAACCTGCTGTGTTATCGCGATGACACCATGTGAACTGAGGCACTGATTGAGAGGCTAGACGAAGAGACTCTCCAGGCTTATGTGCACATGCGCATATGCAACACACCCCTCCCCCCCGATTCTGATTGTGTTCAAGTGGATATAAAGATTCTAAAATGCCATATTCTTTAGTTGGATGGGAATGCAACATTTAATGTAATTACGATTAGTTTGTCATAAATGTCCCATTTTGTTGTTAATTCCTTAGACTGGAGACCCTTGAGAGGAGCATCAGATGGGCAAGAGGGAGGATTCTCCCACTGGATGACGCAGATGAACTCCTTCCATTAGTGACCGGTTTTATTCAACTAGTGCAAACAGCTTTGTCAACTCAAGATGAAGGTATTCTCTTCGATTCATACAGTTGGCTATCTCTCTTGTCAGTCAGTCACACTATGTACAAGTGAATGCAATTCAAAGTGCTTTATATTGCAAGGAATAATTCACACACAAAAAACAACAAAACGGTAATGCATGAGACGAATAAAAGAAAATGAAATATCTCAGCAGCATACTTAAAAAGGAAAAAAAGTGAATACATTCCAGGATTATTACAAACATCTAGTTAGATCTTATTTTAAAGAAGTAAGTCTTGAGGTTGGGGTGGACAGGACAGTTGTAATGCCTGCTACAGATTACATCATGCGTTATGTCAAGGCTTTCAAGTTTCGAGACACTTAGAGGTGAACTTGTTTTCAACATGCTTAACTGATGTTCAGGAGGTAGGTTTGACCAATATAAACGAGTGTGAAAGTGCCTGTGATTGTACAGGAGTGCAGACAGGTGTATTAAACTGTGACTGCTTCTTGAACCCAACTCTGGGTTGTCATGGTTTAAGACCGCTAACAAACTTGGCCAGGTTCTTAGATATGAGAGCGGCTCCATCCAAAGTGGGATGAATACCATCTCTCCTAATAAGACCAATTATCCATTTAAGTTAAGCAGTAACGTGTGTAAGATCCACAGGTAGTACTTAATCTCAAACTGATATAAATCCTGCCACTGTCACTAGAATTGCCAGACACCAACCTCTACCGCATCCCTTACCATAACCATCTCTAATTATCAATTTCTTGAAATTAGGAATTATGAGGTCTAGATTAACATTTTATCTTATTTTCATCTGTTTAACCAGTTTAAACTATTCCCTATTAAAACATTGACTGGAACACCTGCCATTACGTTGGTGATATTGCTGGAGCCAGACTGTCCATAGGAGATATCAGTATTCATTCAAGCTAAATATTCTTCATATAACATAAAGATAATCTAAAAATTACAAGGTGTTGCTTTAAATGCATTGTATTTCATACGAGTAAAAACACCAGGTCAATACATATAACCATCCCATATCCATGCACCTCCACAACTCTACCTGTATGAGTGTAATAAAATATAGGCCTAATCAGGAGAGCACTATCAATCCTGTCTGCTGTTGGTTTAAATGAGCCTTTAGAAGACATGGACTGTCTCAGTGTGATCTTCAGGATAGTGGCTGACATGCATGCACATCAGTTCATATCTATCTTGTCATTAAATCTCTTTTTGCAACATTAGGTACCTCTGGATATCAAGCCCCATTGGTCCGGACAGGTGATTTTGGACGATCCAGCTACCTAATCACAGAACATCTGAGATTCCTGCTTTCATGTGGATTTGTAATTGCACAAATTGCTGAAATCCTGGCTGTATCAGTCATTACAGTTAAACGGAGATTGAGGTATAAATGACAATTGCAAGGCATACAGGGCTAATGTTTTAAATGTTTAAATATTGTGTTCTTTTTCAGTTTATTCACTTGCGGTGCTTGACGGTAAATTATTTTTCCCAAGGAGTGCATGCTCCTAAATTGAAAAATTAGAGAGAGAGAGGCGAGTGCGTCTTCCTCTGAGATACACACATACGTGCTTTAGTTACAAAGACAAAAAGACAACAAATGAAATAAAAAAATTAGCAAAGTTAATGGGAACTACTGAATAATGTTTGGTTATACGCACACATGCTCCTAAATACATTTTACAGTACACTGTCTAGCCCTGACTTGATTTTTTTCTATTTTAGTATAAATTCAGTGAAATTGGTAGAAACCCGCTCATTTCAAGCTGGTATTTGGCGTCTGAAGGTCAAAGAAAACTGGAATAAGCAAAAGTTAAATTACGTAA